AATGGCATTAAAGCCGCGCTGAAAATACCAGCTATATCTGGTTCACCATTCACTTCCATTGCGTCTACAACTTCTTGGAATTGTGGTTGTAAGTTTATGAACCACCTATCCGGATTAGCTTTATGACCCCATCTCATTGTAGTTCCATAGTCTGCAGAAACAAAAGTAGGTTTGTTTCCATATTGGTTAGGTTCTGAATGAACTTTAAACAATGTTTCATTTCTATATGTTTTGTTGAAATTTAACCTTTTATTTTCACCGAGTTCAGCCAAAGATTGAACGTTATATGGTCGTAAGTAAAAAGGATTGTTGTATTTGCGTACATTTTCTTTCAGTACTTCCATTCTATGCTGAATATTTTCATCTGATGTTGGAGTCTTTTGTATGTCGGCGAACATTTTTCGATATTCTTCTACTATGTCAGCCGAATTTTTCTTAGACTCTTGGAAAGATTCCATATTCACCTCATACTCTTGTTGAGGGTCAAGATTTTTCGGCTGTTCCAAATCTTCATCTAGTTCTGTGAAGTTAGTTTCCAAAGGAGGGACTTGTTCGTTTCCTTCAGGCTCTTCTAGCTGTTGTTGCTGAACTATTTCTTCCATGTCTGGTTGTATCTGAACTTCTTCCTGTGGAGTTTCTTGTACCTCATCTGCTGGCATTTCATATATTCCGAGACCGTTTTTAACAAGTTCCCTATCTAAGTCATCCGGACTCATAAACCTTTCTTCTTTCGTTCCGTCTCTATTTTTTACGCGTTTCATGAAGAGAGTTGAATTATCATTTAGCTCTGACACCAAATATCTCGGAGTAAATTCATTCATGTCATTTGGATGATATGCTATTAAATCATATCCCTTAGCGAGCTTGTATTTTCCAGGTTTGAGATTATATCCCATTTGATGCTGAACCATAAAGCTAAATAGGTTCGGGTCAGTATTTCCTTCCTTGAACTTTCTAATAGCTTCTTTATATCTGTCACTAAAGTCAAGAGTATCTGGGTAACCATAATCTTCCTTAAGCATTTTTAAGAATTCTTGGTTTCCTTTTTCTCTACTTCTTTTATGTCCTTGCTCTGTTTGTGGTTGTTGTGCAGGGTTTTGAACTGTTGGTTGCTGTGCTGGTTGTGCAGGGTTTTGAACTGTTGGTTGCTGTGCTGGTTGTGGAGGTGGTTGTTGTGCTGGTTTTGGTTGTGGTGCTGGATTTTGAACTGTTGGTTGCTGTGCAGGGTTTTGAACTGTTGGTTGCTGTGCTGGATTTTGAACTGTTGGTTTTGGTTGTTGTTGTGGTGCTGGATTTTGAACTGTTGGTTGTTGTGTTGGTTTTGGTGCATGCCTGTGTCTGTGTCCATGTGACGATGTAAATGTTTTAGGTAGTCCTGGTGCAGGTGCTTCTCTTGGAGGGTTTGGTGGTATATAAGTTCCACCAGCTGGCACATATGTTCCATCTGCAGCATAATGTCCTACCTGACTTTTCGTTCTTAAGAAAGCATTTACTAGGTCTGTTTTGGTCTGTTGTAACTCTTTTTCTTGACTTTCCACAACAGTTGCTCTAACGGCGTCATAGGCACTTTGAACTGCCTGTCTCGTTGCTGCATCTGTTATTTTCGTCATATTTTGTGCTACTTCTCTTAACTCTTTGTCGAAACCTTCAGACTTCAGTTTCTTTCCAGATGAGAAGTCGTTCACTAGTTTCACCTTACTATGAAGAGCTTCGAAGGCATTCTTAAAGTCAGCATTCATTAAAGCTTCATTTGAACTGTCTTCATCCGCTTGTATTTTTGTCCTTATTGACCCTATAAGTTGGGCTGCTTTAGCGTTGGCTTGGGCATCTAACCAGTCATTATTAGCTTTTATATATTCTGCGCTTTTCATTGCCTTTTGTATGGCTGCGTCGTTATTTTTACTTTCTTGTGCTAAGTTTTCATACTGTACGGTTTGGTTTTGCAACTTTAAAAGTTTTTCTGCCTTTACATTTGCTTCAACTTCTTTTTTATACTCATCGCTATCCATATATGTCTTCATGGCTTTTTGTTTTATCTCTTCATCTTTTAGTACTTTATATTGAGTAGTATGGTTTTTCAAATTTATAACATCTTGTTCCATTTTTGCTACTTCTGCTGCTTTTTCTGACACTTTTTTCGCATATTCCTCTGTACTTAGTTCTTTCAGTTGTTCTTCTTTCTTCTTTTTCTCTACATTTAACTCATTGAGTTTCTTTGTGTGTCTGTCATATTCTAGTTTCTTTTCGTTTTCACTTATTTGTTTCTGTATGTCTATGTTTGACTTTTTGACATCTGTTATTTGATTTTTGAGTGAACTCAAATTCATTTGACTTTGAGGGTTATAAGCTGTTCCGTCTGCAGCTCCACCATAGCCTGCCATTTTCGCTAAAAGTGCCGCTCTTAAACCTCCACTCTGTGCACCAATAACTCGGTTTAAAAGCATAGGGTTGCTTGACATTTGTTGCAACATAGTGGGGTCATTCATCATTTGTTGTTGCAACTGTTGTTGTGGTGTCAGTTTTACTATTGGATGTTTCAATGCTCCCTTCCTCTTACGTATATTCTTACGTAGCTTACGTGGCATTTTAAGTGAAGTAAAAAACGGTTTTTGACAGATGTTTATATGACACTTTTTGTTCAGCACAAAAAACTACTCGGTCAAAGTGTTGTCAGTTTTGTAAAATAACCGTCCTATCTCATTCTATAAGGGAGAAAAGGCTTCTCAAAGTATACTTCCGTGGAACGCCTGTAACTTTTCCTGTAGCGACGATAGACCCTTACTTGTCCGGACAAAGTTATACTATTTTGAGTGCTCTACAAAAAAGTCAACGGCTGGTCGACTGGGGTTCGGTCCTCCTCTTGGGTCTTGGGAAAAATTTCTTATGGGCTAGAGGGCGCAACGCGCCTGGAAGCCCTCCGAATATAAACTTCATTTATACTAAACATCTTCAGGGCTAGAGGGCGCAACGCGCCTGGAAGCCCCACTACCTTTTTTTTATTTCATTAATTTTATCCCATTTTAATATTATGAGTATCAAATGCGAAAATCAAAAAAAATACTGTCCTGATTCGAACTCAATCCATTTAATCTTGGCATACAGACCATCCCATTATGCCAAAAAGATAATTTGTTGTTTTCTTAATAATAATATAAGATCGCTTATTTTTTATTTTGCTTCTATTAAAATTTAGCATTTTATATCACCAATCATTATTCTTCTTAAGTAAGATTTATATTTTCACTTTATAATTTGTTCTAATCGAATATTTTTTTTTATTCACAAATTTTAACCCTGTTTTTTGATAATAAATGTACCACCACATTTTCTACCTAAATTTGATAAATGTCAAACATATTTTTACTTAATTTCCTTTAATTTTTTTTTAATTTTTTTTTTATTCAGTCTCAATTTCATATTACTTTATATATTCTGGATATAAATTCCATAATTATATCATTGCATTTAAAAATATGGCTCAAATATGATTCTTTATAGGATTTTTTTGTAATACGCCAAAAAATCACGACTTCTAGCCTTCTCATTATGTGCATTATTCCTATAAACCGTCTTAGCCCCTGAATATATAGTTGCAAATTAGAGAAACAATATAGCGCCAAATAAATTATTTATGATTATCGACAACACATAGTCATTCTGTTCTAACCATTAGGCAAAATACCCCGACAAGCCAAAAAAAGCACAACTCATGATCGTGCCAGACATCAATAATCTTTTGACGTGATTTGTGCCAAACTCTCAAGAAAATCAATCGTTGGCATTTATTCCTAATATGTTATTATAATGCATCATAGAGAACAAAAAATAATACCACATCAAAATAAAATAAGGCTGATTTCATCTCAAACTTTTAATTTTAACAAAGACACATATTGAAATATCATCACCACATATGGTAGAATATTGCCATATAATTGACACTTGACTTTTACACAAGCTCAAAATCAGCATCCCCATAGGATATTAGGTTTTCGAGAAAACAACACGGGATAAAAGTACACATATATATCTATCTAATTTCATAAAATCAAGTTGCTATATTTATCTGGAATGGTAAGATCCAACAAACAAGTGTGATTTGGTGTCACTTTTTTGTCCAATAACAAAAATTTAAGGGTAGATGAGATTGTAAGAAATCGCCTGTGCTTTCTTCCTTATAAGACTCTGATTTGTCTTCTTTCTGAGACTCGATGTCGTTTGAAGATGTAGTATTAAGGTCGTCGAGACTATTCATCCAAAATGTTTGAATTTATAAATTGAATTATCTTTCAGAATAGATGGGCCAGCAATTCTCTCAAATTTTGAATTAATTTTGCCTTTATTCAAATGATGGGTCCAATAGATTTTCCAGCTTAAAAAGAGTTGTTATATGGTTTTAGATATTTTAAAAATAATAAATTGAAATTACTTTTCATAAGGTTTTGATTTTATTTGAACCTTATTTGATAGTATTTAACTCTCTTACAAGTTTATATATAACTATTAGAATTCAATGAGGGTCAATTTTATACAAAATTGCGAGAAGTTCAAAGCAATTTTGTTCTTAATTACTCTTGAGGTGTAATTATGTTAATATTTCCTTTACACCAATTTTATATAAAAGTGACTAAAATTTATATTCCATTAGAATTCAAAATTTTCCTGAAATAAAGATATATTATTAATTATTAGATCTTATTAAACGTAGTTAGCAAAGAAGATGAAGTATAATATCGTAATAATATTCTTTTTCAATTGTATTTGATCGGAATTGTCGCATGTTTTCAATTTTGAGTCCATGAATTACAGACATATGATTAGCTTTAATAATAAACAAGTGAATTTAAAAATGTGATTTCAGAAATTTACGCTTTATCTCAATGTTTTCTGTCAACAAAACCATGAAAATGAAACCTATGATTTTCTGATTATTTCTTCTATATTTCCTTATTAAAACGTTTTCTCACAAAATTTGAATAAAACTTGCCCAATCAATATAAATGAACGACGTACAATCGTATGCCAGTGAAGAGTCTTCTGTCTTTACCGCAGCATCAATCACTAGATACAAAGATCTCATTGATATACCGATTTCAACAACTATTAAAGAGAATCTTTCTTCCTTATTCAATTTTTTGGACATTTATGGTCCTAAGATTGCATTATTCCATACAATTGTCTCATTCCTACGATTGTTCCAACTCATTGGTTGTTCGTTCATGACCTCAGATGCAGATGTTGTCGATCTTTCAACAAAAACTTATTGGTTAATGAACGTAATGAGTGTTCTTTTCCACGTAATGCCAGTATCAGTTCGTAAGAATAACGAATACATTGTTTTATATTTGGTTAACATTATTCTACTAGTTTTCTTAGGTTATTTGTTATTCATGGCATTTCAATATAAAAAGACCAGTGTAGTTTCAAAGACTGCAACAAATATCTTAACAGTTTTCATGTCGTTCGTTCCTTTTTGGTTCCTTCCTATTGCAGTTCAATTTTCTGGAGAAATTCTCTCGGCTCTAATTTCAAAGCTCTATAAAATTGAGGCGAAAATGATTATTCCTTTAGTACTTACAGTTGCCAACATTTTTGCATACACATGGATAATCATAAGTTGCTATACAAAATCACTTGCCTTCAGAGTTATTTCATTCCAAACTGTTGAAGGTTCTTCCCAGAATAAGTTATTCATTACAACACTTTTTGTTACATTTATGACATCCCTGACATCATACTTATCTCGCTATCCATCCCTTGTTTTCATGGTCCTCGCCATGGCCTGCTATTTGTACAATTGCACAACCGTTTTCAATTGCGGAACTTTTATCAAGCCAATGGACCAAACATTGATATTAGGTGGTTCCATCCTTGGTTGCCTTGTTTGTGGTGCCAGTTTATATCCGATATTAGATGAATATGAGTGGAATGACTACTATTTCGCAGTTTTCTTCGGTGTTGCCGTTTTAGTTTTCTATTTTAGTGACTTATTCATCAAGAAAAGAATCCAAAGAAACCTTTTGTTGTTAGATGAATTCGAAATGTCACAGGATTTCGACGTTATCAAGTCAAAAGGCAAATTTAGACAAATTGTTGGTACAGGATTCAGATTCAACCACTCTGTCTGCCTTGATTTCACAATTTTCAAGGCTGCCGTTGAAAAATGGTCAGATGATTTGAACATGTGGTATTTATACGCGAAATTTGCGGCCATCTATCCTGAAATGAACAGCCAGTTAATGTTCATTGCAAACAACATGAGAAGTACAAGATCCAACCACGAACAGATTGGTTATTACATAACAAATATCGGCCAAATCACAAAGACAAGAGAATTGTGCTTTACAACAGAAATTAAGCAGAAAATCTCAAAGTTGTCAAAGAATTTCGATAAGTCAAAGAACCGTCTGAGATATATTTGGGACTTAGTTTTACAAGGAAACCTCGCTGAAATGGATAAAGCTGTAAAACAAGCCCATGAGTCAATAAAAAGATTCGAAATCGAAGTCAATCAATTGACAATGTTGTATCCAAACAACAAATATGTTATCAGGCAATATGTCAAGTTCTTGGCTGAATTAAAAGTTGATTTTGCCAACGCAAAAGTCTGGAAAGATAACGTCAAATTCTTGAATTCAGGTATATGCGTCAACAAAGATATCTTACATGAATTAGGACATATTGCTTTTCCAGCTATTCCTGATACAATTGCTTCATCTTTCACTCAAAACAAACAAAATGAAACTCCAAATGATACATTAACATACGGATATGATGATTTCGAACAAGATGAAGTTGATTTACAACAAATGGAAATTGTCAAGACATTGATCATGAAACATAAAGTTCCTGCATTACAATTCATGAAATATTCTGAATTGTTTTTGTTGATTGGAATGACAATTATTCCTTTCCTTTTGATTGTCATTTTCTATGGAAGTTTCACAAATGAATTAGTTGAGCCATTGAACTTTTTGTATGGTATTTCATACATTAGAAACCTTGTCAACATTTTACCAGCATTCATTGGTAAATACTTAGTTGAAGAACTCGATGATCCAAAGAATCCTTCACAGAAATTAATGGAAAAAATCTTCCTAAGAGAAAACTTCCCATTACATGCTTATGGAGGATATCAAGAGCCAAAAGATATTGTTCAATATTTGTGTGCTCAAGTTCCATCGACAACACAGAAATTGACAAAACTTAGATCATATAAAACAGGAAATTCAATAATTGAAGAAGTTAGAAACAAAATATTTGCAGCAACTTTACCATTTAATCTTTATAAGAATTCAATAGATGTTATACAATCAAAGACATCAATGGTTCAGTTGATTTACATGATTGCAACACATTGTACAAAAGTCATTGATCTTGGTTATGTTGATATCACTGTTGCAGCAGGAATGGATGCAGTTACAAGCAGATCAAATGATGTTACAACAACAAGAGTTGCAGGAGAAGCCATGGATTTGTTAGTAACTCACATAAGAAAGATGAACAATCGCAATCAAAAATTATATTTAGGATTGATGTTAGGTTTGATTGCTCTTGTTTTAGTTATTATTCCAATTATTTATAGGATACAATCTTCCATGTTAAAGAGAAACAAAGAAGAATTATACAGCGTTTTTGGGTATCTTCCAAAGACAGTAATTTCTAATATTTCTTCTTCTTTCATGAAGAGCAAAGATGAATCTTCCATTTCCAAGTCAAGAACAATGGAACTAAACAAACAAGAAGAAGGAATCATTAAATTGTTCTCAACAATTTCTGATGGTTCTTCAAGTGGTTCCATTGAAGTTTACAACATTTTCTGCTTGATTTTCATTGGTGCTGCCATGATTGCTGGATATGCAATGCTGTTCTTGAGATACATGAAAGGTTCTGATACATGTGTAAAGAACTGCCATCATATCAATAACATTTATGGCAGTATTTGCATCATGTATTCAATTCTTTCAAGTATTTTGACAATTTTGCCAGCAAAATATGATCCATTATTATCAGAAATGTGTCCACTTCCTGATGCTGAAATGCAAGTCATTGAGAGCTTCATTCCAACAATGGTTAAATACATCCATTTGTTGAGAGTTGGAGGAACAACAAATCAAGATATTCCTTTCTTAATGATGCAACAAGCTTTAGATGAAGCAACAGCAATTACTTATTCAGAAGGTCCTGAAGTTGTTCCATGGTTATTCCAACAATCAGCTCATGGTTTCTCAGCTGAAGGTCAGCTTTGGCTTATTATTTCTCTTTTAAGAAGATATGCAACAAACATGAAAAACGGAATTTGGCCAAAATTAAGAGGAGATGGAATTCAAGAACTTTGGCAGATTGGCCCATTTGAATTATACGAAGTTTTATATTATAACACAGGTGAAAAATTAGTTTCAACAATCCAAGATGAAATAGAAAAACAATACACACCAATGGTTGCTTTCGCTGTTATTTTCATGTTGATTGTTTTAATATTTACTGTTTTATCAATGATAATGATTAACAAGGAAGAAAACATTTTGAAGTTCACTCTTACTAACTTGTTGAGATGCCAACCACAAATAATTTTCCAAAATCCTCATATAATGAATGTTTTGAGCGGAAACTACAGCCAAAAGGAAGATGAAGATGACCAGAAATTACTTAAATTCCATACAGAAGTTGCTAACAGATTAAATGATATCATCATTGTTAGTAATGAAGCAGATGGAAAGATTGTTAATGTCAACAAATCATTTGAAGAAATGTTTAATTTACCAGAAAATGAAGTAATCAATACAAAAGTTTCTGAATTCTTCATGAACGGAAGATTCACTTCCAAAGACAAAATTGAAAAAGTTTTAGGTTACCAAATCACTTTAGTTTACAAAGATCAAAAAGAAAATGTTCATTACATTGAATTCACAAACCAAAGTGTTGCAGGAAGAAAGATCTTTTCAGGAAGAGATATCACACAAACATTGATGCATGAAAAGATGATTTCCGATGAGAAGAAGAAGTCAGATGCAATGTTAAGTTCCATTTTACCAGCATCTTTAGTTCCACGTGTACAAGCTGAAGAAAAGAACATTTCTTTTGCTGTCCAATCAGTAACTGTTCTTTTCTTAGATGTTGTTGAATTCACACCATGGTGTGGTTCTCATGATGCCCAATATGTCATGAGAATGCTGAATATCATGTTCAAAGAATTCGATGCAATCACAAATGCTCATAAAACAATGACAAAGATCAAATGCATTGGTGATTGTTATATGGCAGCTGGTGGTATATTTGATGAAGTAAATCAACCAGCTGTTCATGCAAAAGAAGTTGTAGATTTCGGATGTTTAGTCATCAAGAAATTATTAGAAATCGATCAACAAGAAAATGAAAACCTTAGAATAAGAGTTGGTATTAATACTGGCGGTCCAATCATCGCTGGTGTTATTGGTACAGAGAAACCAACATTTGAGATCCTTGGCCCGGCAATTAACACTGCTCACGAAATGGAACATCACGGTGTTCCAATGAAAGTTCATATTTCAAGACCAGTTTATGAGCTTATTTATGGCCAACAGTTTGATATCAAGGAAAGAGGCGAAATTGATATCAAAGGAGGAAAGATGTTTACTTATCTAGTTGAACCATAATTTTACCATGTATATTTTTTGAATAATTTTACCATGTAATTTTTTTTATAGATTGTTATTTAGCAATTCGTTTGTATTTCTTAAACTGTAAATAGTATTTGTATAAATAATATTGTATTAATTTACGTTTTTACACTGAAAAAAGTAGAAAACAATTAATTCGACTGTATTATTTATATACAATCTGGAATAAAGTTCGTTTTGTATATCAAAAAATATTACAGTTATTATGGCTTATTTTGAACTAAGATTATCAACGAAAACATTTTAATATAGCTATTATAGGTTTTTCGAGAATTAATTATTATTTAACAAATATTGTTACTCAAAGTTACTGGATTAAAACAACTGGATGAGGAAGAAAATTTTATGAATGAAAGTGATATCGCTGGAAATCAATTTCATTTAAAGAAACCGATATCTTATTTGGAAGTAATATACTTTTTAATATTTCGAATATGTACTTTAATTATAAAAAAAATATTGGAAAATAAGATCAAATAAGATGCTTTTACTTGGTGTAAAGTATGTTGTTATTTGAAGGAGGTTATTTATTTGGTTGATATTTTAAATGTTTCAATAAATAGAGAGAAGGTTTATTAGTCATATCCAAAACTAAGGCAGTTCTTATGAATCATCTAAGAACATAAGATATTTATGATAAGATTTAGTAATTATAAAAAGAATATCTGCAAATTATTTGATGACTATCTGATAATAAAGATTTATATCAGGAACTTAATAAATTATTGAAAATTGAACAATGATCATTTGCTTATTCAGTGATTTTAATTTCAGTATTTGATAAAAAGTGTCGGTTTTATATTTTTGAATGCATATATTCAAAATTGTATATTTCAAAAATATAACATCAGTATAAAATGTTTTTGTGCCTTTATGTGCGAAAAATATTTTTGGTGTAACCTTTTGATTTGAACCATATAATGAACCACTGAAGGCGAAACATTCAGGGATGATGTAGTGTGGGATATACCCACCTAACATTAAAAAGTGCGATATGGTTTGGGCTTTTTTACGTTAGAAATGAAAAGGATCAATTTTAGATCAACTGTGAAAAAGTTGTTGCATTATTCAATTCAATGAAAACAATTTTCACTGCTTGAATAAGTAGCTCGGAGTTAGAATAATGATCCAATCGATGACATTTATTCTCATTTTGGAATAGAATAACCTAACTCCAAATTTGAAAAAAATGAAAAAAGATAACAAGGGTATATTAATCTTATTAATATTTTTAGCAGCTTTGTATAGAGATATATTTACTTTTTGTTGATTATTACGAGATTAAATCTGAAAAAAAAAATCTGAGCTAAATATTTCGAAGTTATAAATATTTTTTAGCTGCACTTAATCGAGTTTATATATTTCAATAATTTAAATGCAAGAGTCTTCATTATTTGGATAGATTCTAAAAATTGAATCAACTCTCGGGAATATTACGATAAACAATAATTTTTCTGGAATCTGCATGAACAATATAGTTCAAATGAAAAATTCATTTTTACTTTCAATTTTCAAACTTGGTCACTTGCATAAAATTCTTTTGAAAATAAAAACATTATTACATACATTTTTGAAATATGATCGCATTTCGGTAATTAAAAAAATGGTTGACTTTTGAATATTGAATTAATCATTGAATTTACCAATAATTTATAAACTTCAAATATATCTTCAGGTGAAAAATTATGATTTATAAAAAAAAACTCCGTTGGAAAGAGAAAAACAGATTAACATATATACTATGATAATTCAAGAAAATCATGTCATTTGAAAAATAAGGAGGATGAATATCAAAAACTGAATATGTTAAATGATTGCATAAATCAATAAATTCATCAATAATTTATAGATTACTTGAATTATCAAATTCAGTATATTGAATTTTTCTATACTCAAGTTTCATTTTAAATGTTACTATTTCAGTTAGTAGCACGCTCTGTATCATGTTCTATCTATCCAGATTATATTGATAACACTACTGAAACAATATTAGTTGATTGTGAACATGATATTTCTTCTTCTTATAGAAATTATGAGAGGTTATCGATTTTGTAATTTAATCGTCGTCGTTATCGATTTTGTAATTTAATTGTTATCGTCTTTTTCTAAACGTGCATTTTTACATTAAAAGCAATGCAACTCCAAAATTAATTGGTATTTAGACTTTAATTAGGTGCAGACAAACGAAATGCAGTCCAAATATTTTGGTGATATATGAATTACATAAATTTAGGGAAATTGAAATTATATCTTTTTAAATTTTTAGGAAAACAGATTTATAGAATTGTTTAAGTCATCAAAATAATGCAGACTTAGGTCAAATTTTCCAAATTTAATCATTTGCAAGACTTTCAAGCGACTTCAAAATGTCGAAATATAAGTCCAAAAATAAAATTACGATTACAGTCTATCCTCAATTATTATCACGCTAATTATTGAGTGACCCATGCGTTCGTATGTATGTAATACCTTTTAAAAAGGAGATGAGAGAGATAAACTACATTTACAATTTAAATCTGATGTATTTACTTGTTACATTAACAAATGTAAATGTTTCTCGTAATGTTTACATTTTGTAAGTATAACGAATAAAAATGACGCACTTTTTTTACAAAGTCAAATTATGCGATACAACTTTACTTGTTACATTTACAAATGTAAATGTTTCTCGTAATGTTTACATTTTGTAAGTATAACGAATAAAAATGACGCACTTTTTTTACAAAGTCAAATTATTGTTCGATTTTTGCAGCTTGTAAACGATTAATTGTATAAAGCAATTGATATTAGCACGACATAACTGAATAATTCTAATATTGAAATCAAAAGCCCTTAAAATATCATGATATTTTAATTTCATAACAAATCTAGGAGACTATTTGATGAAAACATATCCGATGTGTTTTTTGTTGTATTATATAACTTGTTATTGACTTCTTAGCTTTCCAAATTTTTTTCGATAATGAGAAAACGAATGAAAAATCAACATTTGGTCCATTTAAAATTTGATTTGTTTACATTTTTTTTACTTTTTGAATTTCAATTTATATTTTCCTCAAGAAATACTTTAGATTTTAAGAAACTAAATCATATAATCTACTAAGAAAATATATTAAATCCTATAATACTCAAAGTTTTGTGATAAATCCGATCTTTTTTATTTTACTTTTATTATGTATTTGCAAACTTAAGGTCCTCACTAGGTAAAACATAATACTCTTTGAAGTTAAGTATTTTCACAAAGAGAGGACCAACAATATCAAAAGATTGAATAAAGATTTGTATTATTTTATTTATTTTTAAGAACATGTTTAAGAACCCTCATAATGGCAATGAGAAGATTATAACAAATGAATATAGTTAATGTTTCATTCATAAACATTAAGAATTTGGACAACCGTAAAAAACTGAAAAGAATTGAATTTTGTAAATGAAGTTAAGGGACCACTGCAAAAATTGAGAGACTCAGAAAAATTGAGAGGCAAAATGAGATTTATCGTTTTCGCCTCAATTATAAATGCTTATTTTGCTATTCATCAGATTGATATTTTTCAATTCTCGTCAATATACACACCTTTTGGTATGATGCTTTAGCATCATGCTATTTCGAATTAAAGAAAAATCTTGAAATGGGCGAGTTTTGAGATGATTTGCATTTTTCGATTTTTTTTCTGTTTTCGAAGCGTGTTTTAAAAATTCACGATTTTCCGATTTTAAAAGTGGATTGATCAAAAGTTTTTATTGGCCAATATTTTGATATTAATTAAAATCTAATATCTGCGAATTTTATTGCAAATTAAATTGAGAGAAAAGTCATTATTTTTAAATTTTGATGATTGCAAATGCATTGGAATATAATATCAGATAATTTTAAAATAGAATAACCTTGCAAAACTTCAAATATACTAATTTTTTCAGAAAAGTCTTGTTAGAAGTAGTATATGATAACTATGTCAACTTAATATGCAAATCATTAAGTTTTTAATTGAATTTAATTTCATTATTTTTTATTTTTAAATATTAGGTCTGATAGAATATGAATAGATATCTGTTCAAATCATATTGATGTAAATCATTATTCATAGAATATGATTCCAAATAGAATTTATCAAAATGATCCATTTGAATACTTATCATTTTTACATGTTTCCATATTCAAACTTTGTTATCTCATGAAGCAGCTCGTTTTTACTCCTATATATTCTACAATCATAACAAAAATCTCATACAAAATAAATGAATAACAGAAATTTTGAAGTTCTTAGTGAATGAAATGGTCGTATATGATGACTATAGGCAGTTGGCAGCTATTGTTAATGATAAATTTCCAATTTTATTGTTAATAATTTTAATATTTAATATAAAAAGAGAATTTGAATGCTGATAATAAGGGAATTTGACAAGCATCTTGTAGGGATTCAAATACCCCTAACTTAATTTTTTCAAGTTTATTGAATTTTTAGCCTTAGTAAAACATCAACTCGATGATGATTTTTAAAAGACGATAGGTCTTGTTTGGCCGTGCAGTGGTCCCTTAAAAAAAATTCAATTCTTTTTGAAATTTGTTGTTTAATAATATTATATCTCGAAACATCGATTACTGAATAGAAATCATCAATTTGTTAAAATTGGTATAAAAGAATTTAAAAAAAAACGCCGTTGAGAATAAAAATGATAACTACGACTTCAATAATGAAATATCTGATTTTGTTTTGCAATTTTGAATTGCATTCAAATACAAAACATAAGCAAAACCGTCAAATATAGAACAAATAATGAAATGATATAAATTCTCCTTTTTAACCGAAATTTTTCGCTATCAAATTCCATCAATAGAATTTTTAAGTAACAAGTTTCATTTCAAATGATGCTATTTCAGTATGTAATATGTGCTGTATCTGGAGTTCCTGAAGTTAAATCAATTAACCAGACAAACTTTGTTTATGGAATAACTCAATACGTTTCAATAGATATGGATATTTCCGACAACAAAATATATGGAATACGTGGTTTGCTTACAGATTATCCAATTACTAGCTATGATTCCATTGGGGATGGTTTTAATGGTACCTATGCAACAATTAGAGTTAAGTACGATGAAACTTCAAGACAATTCACAGGATATATTTATTTATTTCAATACGAAACATCTAGTACAAAACAATATTTAACAATTATTGTAGAGGATTATCAAAATATGAAAGGAAGAGCACAATTTGAAGTAACTGTTGAGAAACTATTTACATGTTCACTCATGAGTGAATTCAAAAATTTCTATGACGATGATGATTCAGTCGTTTTCAAATGTCAAGGAGCTCCGTTGAAAGAAATTCAATTCTGTTTTTCCGAAACAAATAAACTCTATGATAATATAAGTTACCGATTGAGGACTGTAGAAGCTGGACCAAATGAATTCACGGTTACAATATATCCGAAGAATCATCAACATGCTTTTAATAACAAAAGAACATCTCTATACTTATTCGACGATTCTTATGGAAAGGCATATTGGATGATAGAGAAAATAAGATTCAAAACGCCGCCAAATATTCGAGAATTGACTATATCTGATCTTGTCATATCTGCAGATCAAGAATATCGAGTTCGCGTTGATGGAAATGTTTTCGATGAAGATGCGGCTAATTATATCCTTATTGATGATGGCTTTAAAAATCAATCAAATTTAATAACATTTACAGAGAAATTTTATGAATCATATTATTTGTCACCAGAGGATTTATCAGAAACAAAAGAGGGAACATTAAAATTCAGACTACAAGATTCATTGGGAAGAGTTACAATGAAAACTGTTTACACAGTAACGTTCCCAAAATGTCCTTATTTAGTTCCTGTTCCTTTATCAAAACCTGCTGATTATATTTATAAAGAAGGTGAAACTTTTACAGTTAAATTACAAGTTAAAAGAGATGAAGGAAAAGGTAATGTACAATATCGATTTAATGATCAAAGATCACAATTAGTTTTTTATGAAAAATTAACAAAACTTACAAAATCAGCATCAGCAGATATTGTCGAATATGAAGTATCAATAGATGTTCCATATGACGAATTTTGTAATAAGACAGGAAATGATAAACTTTACATAAGAATGGGACTATCAAATGAAATCGAATACGATGTTAAACTTAAAGGAGAAGCTAATGAGAAAGATGATAAAGATGATAAACAAGATGATGGTGGAGAAGATGATCAGAAGTCAAATAATGAGAACAAATGGGTAATACCTGTAGCAATAATAGTTCCTCTTATAGTAATCGGTGTTGTTGTTGGAATTGTTGTTTATTTCTTTGTCATTAAGAAGAAATCATCCGATGTATCAGGAGGCAACGAAGATGATGGTGATAAAATTTAAATTTTTATTATAGTAAAAAACAATTCTCGATAAATATGTTTTTTTTTAATTGTGGGTAAAATAATAGTAATTCATATAATATAGAGAAATACTTAGTTATATTGATAGAATGCTAGCTGGAAAGAGATTCAATGAATATTATATTTTTAAACTAGAATATCTGTTATTGCAATTCGAAAAATTAAGCAAAATATAATATCAGTTGATATTTAACACTCTTACATTGAATATTGGAGATGAAAATTAATTTTGGAAATAATTCGTCAGGCATATTACTTCAATTAAAGAAAAATGAATATTATATATCTAGACAAGGCTAAATTTTTGCTAAAAAAGAACAAAATAGCAAAAAAACTGTAAAAAAGAAAATGTATTGCAGGTACTATTGTCTAGCTTGTTTACTGATTGAAATATTTATTAATAGGTATATGCCCATCTATTGCTAAAGAGTGGAATATAAAATCAAATAAATTTAAAGATGACAGAAATGTCGAACAGAATTTTATCACTTGTGAGTGGAAAATAATATTGATATGGCAAGTGCAGGCTAAATAGATGATCAATAGTCAATTAGAGTGTATACAATCTTAATTGGGAAAAAAAGTAAACGAATTCATAGTATTATTATATTAATAAGTGTTTAGTATCAATAAATATTCCTGTAATATTCTTAAAATTATTACAAAAATAATATATAAAAAATAATTCCGCATTATTATATAATTAGTAGTTTTTGGATGCTTTCTTCATGGAGTATGTGTTATTTTCCATCACAGAATGCTTTCTGAATCCTCCTGGTAAAGAAAATTCGATTGTAATTCTGGAACCCATCAAAAACTTTCCAGTCATCTGAACGAGTGCATCTTGTGCAGCCCTAACATCCCAAAATTCAATGAATTTCTGGAAACCTTTGGACGGAGTTCCACGAATCTGCCTGATCTCACCGTATTTGGAAAATATGGAGAAAATCATTTGTTCTGTAACCTGTTCTGGAATGTGAAACACGACTATTGTCCCATTGTTCGGTGGATTTTTCGGATCTAAAATCTTCTTTAATGGTGCGTATGTTACATCCAGAATTCTGTCTTTGTATATCTGCTTGTTGAAGAGAATCTTAATTGAATTTGCTTTTTTAAGATTGTAAAAATCGACAAGCGCAATTCTAGATTCAATGTTCGTAAGATCAACAGAACGAATATCATCCTTATCTCCTAGATAATCCCTAAGTTCTTTTTCGTTCGTATAAGGGTCAAGATTACTAAACGATAAACATCTGTTTTCTATCTCAACTGTTGTTGGCTGAATGACAGGATTTTCCTTGTAAAATGGAGTTATCTGAACCTGGAAGTCATTCTCTGGAAATGATGAAGATTGGAAATAAGTTGTTGGTATTTCAAAAGGAGGGGGCTGAAGAAGTGGTGGTAAGTCACTTAGATAATTCATTTCCTGTCTTGGTGTAGTCATGTTCGGAGGAGTTGCTAAGAAATCACCCCAGCTATCCATCAAAAAAAATTTTAATTCAAAAAAATATTCAGAACGATTATATTTGAGTCAAATAATATTTACATGAAACAATAAACAACTGAAAAAAAATTGACTAAGATGATTTATTAATAATCTATATGTCAATATTAAATTGAAATTGTAGCGGTAGATTTAAATGTGATAATCTCTCAATTTTCTGAGAGAACTTGAAAATGCCCGCAAAAATATTTTTTATTCTGCGATTCTTATTGTATTTAACAGAATTACTTTAAGATTGATGATTTGTTAATGAAATTTTTTCAGTTCATTCGACCAAATGACTAAAAAAGAAAGAATTTTAATTAATTTTAGATGATTAGTAATTAGGTTAATAATTGAAATCACGGGATCATTTGTAATAAACAGAAATTCATCAAAAGTGACAGCTCTCAATTTTTTGACATTTGTAAATTCTAAATTGAATGAGAAAAATGAAATAATACTAAGCATAATACAATATTCTAGATTTAATTATAATTAGGAAAAAGTTGGCTTTGAGAGTACTTTTCATAGGCATATAGAATGAAATCTTCTGAAAAATAATATCACATAAACTCATATTATTTTCTAATATATAACTATTTTATATAAAAATCAAATTCAATGATCTTAAAAGCGAAGGATAAACCTCAAAATTTACGAATATAATGAGTGGGAATATAATGCTTATCTATCATAAAACCATATGAAATATCAATTTTTGCTTTACGCCTAATTTTTGACGACAATTAGCAAAAAATGTTAAATGTTAACACTCAGTCCATTTGAATATGAAAAATAAAATTGACTTTGATTAAATGTTTTTATTTATCATGCAATTCTTCTTGCGACCAAAGTTTTGAATAAAAGTTCAAAAAATAAGATAGCTTAAAAAATAATATACGGTAGTGTTTACTAATAGATGAATAGTATATAAATTCTATTAGAATGGATTTGATCCAAAAAAATATATAAAATTTGATCATAAATAAAATCGTTTTAAATTACTTCTTCATTTAAATTATAACAATTATTTTTGGTTTTATATTTTTTTGGATCAAATCCATTTTAATAGAATTTATATACTATTCATCTATTAGTAAACACTACCGTATATTATTTTTTAAGCTATCTTATTTTTTGAACTTTTATTCAAAACTTTGGTCGCAAGAAGAATTGCATGATAAATAAAAACATTTAATCAAAGTCAATTTTATTTTTCATATTCAAATGGACTGAGTGTTAACATTTAACATTTTTTGCTAATTGTCGTCAAAAATTAGGCGTAAAGCAAAAATTGATATTTCATATGGTTTTATGATAGATAAGCATTATATTCCCACTCATTATATTCGTAAATTTTGAGGTTTATCCTTCGCTTTTAAGATCATTGAATTTGATTTTTATATAAAATAGTTATATATTAGAAAATAATATGAGTTTATGTGATATTATTTTTCAGAAGATTTTGTGTTCTTCTTCAAAATTTTATTTTTTTATTAAAAAGAATCTTTACAAAATATACATTTACTTTAATTAATATTTAAAAACGTGCTCTATCAAAAGTTCCAAAAATTCAATATTTTAGCTTTTCTGAGGTGTCACTTTTGATGAATTTCTGTTTACAACACATTCAATTTTCTTAATGAAAATTCAGACTCATATACTAGAGTCAAAATCTCGAGCACAAAAGTGACATTGAATACTTGTAAGTATTGAATTCCCATGTAAACTATTCATTTCTATCGTTTTTTGTAGTCCACATTTCCTCACTCTCGATTTTACTCATAAAAATATTAAAAATCACTATACAATATATAAAATATATATTTATATGGTTAAAACAATGTTATTTTTGCGAGATTTCATCTGAAATTAAAATTAGGGATTTTTTGAATTTTGAACTAAAATTTGTGATTGGCAAATATTGAATAATCGATTGGAATATGAAAGAAATACTTTAAAATTGAATAGAATGTGCCGATAGAATTTTTCTCACAATTTTAAAAAGTTGTTCAAATCCTATTTTTGAGTGAGTTTTTGCAATTGTTATATATCAAGTGACAAGCTAAAAATAAAATTTTTGTTGCACTACTATTTTTGCAACAATTTGTAAATTACGTGCATCCCTTGTATTCCAGTGATCAACATCGAGATTACATATTGTAAGAAATCCTTTTGAAGTAGATCTCTATTTGAATTCAAATTCGGACAGTCTATTTCATGTTGCTTCGTGAGAATGTATATAATTTGCAATGTGAATATTATATAATTGATTCTGTATAAAAAGTAATTATGCTTTAGGAAACTGCTCGGCATTGCATGAGATCTAATCTTATAATAATTTTTTAGATATGTTGAAATATGTAATATTTAGCTTCAATATCATTTATTATGGTGTGTCTTTGCTGTTTTTTGATATTGGATATCAATGACTCTTCTGTGAACGAAAAAATCATATAAATCATTAAATTCTAAACGTAAGCGAAACTCATTCAATTTATTATTAGAATCAAATCTATTTTAAAAATTGAGCTATTCGTTAAATCACAAAAGGATACTTTATATTTTTAGTCAAAATTTGTTGATAGGAGCTTATTGGCGCAATCTCATGTTCTTCCTGGAAGCAGCGCACAGACCAGTCAGAAGCGCTCCTTCCAGGACCAGAAAGACTAGAAGGGGGTCCTGACCTTGAGAAAGGACCCCCTTCCAGGTCTTTCTCCAAGGAACATTGTGCCATTGTGGGAGACATGCAGAGGCAATGTCTCCCAGAATGAGAGTGTGGGACAAACTATCCAGTGTCACTTTTTATTAACCTTATTTTAAAAAATTAATAAAATAATAATAAAAAATTATTTGAATCTTTTACATTAATTGTTTCTTTTTTAAAAGTACCTTTAAAGTACAATAAACAAGATTTGAATCTATTGATCCTTGTTGCAAACTTGAATATATTGCTTCAAGCATTTTCAAACATTCGACTTTTTTGTTTTCCAATATTTGTTCATGGTCATTAGCTTTTCGTAATATACGAACAACTTTATCACTATTGATTAATTGAACTTTAAATTTAATCAATAATGCTGGAACAACCGTTGTGTATAATTCAACAAAAAAATCGTCTAATCGAATATTCCTTCTCTCTGGGAAATAAGAATGCTTGAGAACTTTGAAATGTGACTCACTGACGTTATTAGTCGCGTCACTTCCGTTGCGATAGCGCTTATTCCAACGATCTAAATGATGTCTCCATTGCCTATCGAAGTACTTTTGGGTTTTCGGTTCAGTGGAAAGAATTTCAAGAATTCGATCATAAACTGCATCTAGGTCTGCAGCTTCTTCTTGAGTGAGGTGCTCGGGAACTTCTTCACTTGTTTCAAACGTTTCTTCTTCTGGAATAAATTCAGAATCGTTTGGATCATCAGAAGATTCTCGTGGTAAAAAGATTTGAGAAGGTTGAAATAGTTAGTATACAAGTCATGGGTACGGCGGCACTGCGTTCCACCTTACCCAATACTTGTGAATTTGACACTTTACAAAGCCGCCAACCACTTCACTAACGAACTCACTAATGTAAAAAATAAACGTTCTCACTATCGTTCTCACTAACGACTTCACTAATGTTCTCATAAATTTTCCTCAATATCTTCATCATCAGTGTTAACCCTATTGTAGTCATACTTGAAGCCATAAACTTTCTCTAACTTCTTAACGTACAATTTACATAACTTACCTTCGTCATCGTATGGTTTAATGATATAACTATTTCTATCTTTATACACAGTCAATGAAAAGTCAACTGGTCTCGGATGTATTTGAAAGAACATGTTATGCTCAGGAAGGAAGAATAAATGTTTAAATGTATGTTTGTTATACTGTGGAATTCGAATGAGTTGCTTTTGTTCTGTCATTTACATCCAAATAAAAATTTTCAGTAAAATAAAAAATAAAATAAAAAATAATGATATCACCACCCTCACACGTATGAAAACATAGCACAAAAATAAATTTAGGTGAAGTGGTGAGATCTCACCTCTTTTTTCACCCTGTTGAATTCATTGCTTTATAACTCTCTTCCTTGGTTTCTTTTTAGTTGCTTTCTTCACGTCTGTCTCCAACTTGACTATCTTTCTTCTTCGGCCGTAATGATACCAGTTACTTCCACCAGTCAATGGTCAAATGGTCTTTCGTAAGGGTTTCCATACATTCCATAGGGACCATACGGAAGAAACTACTGGTGGAGAAGAAACATTTTCTTTAGTTCCATCGACTCTATTTAAATGCATTGTTTCACCTTTCATCTGGTCATTAAAGTCTTTTGCGTGTTTTGCAAACTCATCGTCCTTTCCTAAAGCATTTTCTGACTCAGTCGCAACCAAATTGGATGCTTTATTTATGAGCCCTATTTTATTTAATCTTAACTTCTTTGCAACCCAGCCTCCAATCTTCCCTTTATTTGCATCTAATGTCTTTGAAACCCTTCCCACTCATTTATTTACTGCGTCATAAGCTCCAAGTGCTTTGCTCCAAATGCTAATGCTTTTGTTCCCATTGCGCCTAAAGCTGCCCAAGCTACCATTTACACCATTTAAAATCATCTCTCTTCAATATTATCTCATAAAAGTTCTCGTTACTGGAGAAAGTCAATGAAACATAAACATTCTCACGGGTTTCGCCCTCACCGCTTGCGGTCTATCTAACTTCTTTCTTATCTCATCTATACGCTTCAAAATGTCTGAACAATTGCTAACATCTTCTACAACAGTTATTTCATCATGAATGACCCTTCAAGAACAAGCTCATTTAATATGCTATTAAAATCATCTCAATAATGAGTCCATCCTTTCCATCTTTAGGTAGCACAACATCTTTCATTGAAGAAGGTTCGACAAGTCTTATGTTAACTTACTGACAAAGTTTGTTATACTATAATGCTTCGGCGGCGAATACATGTAGTTTGAAAGACATAATATAGATTCTTCAGCAAATTCACTTATACTGGATTTTTATAACAATGTTCTCACGAGACCAAATACCACCAATTGACAATCTTGTAAGCAATCCTGCTGAACCTTCTACTGTAAACGTCGATGGTAACATTCCACGAAGGTCATCTATTGACATCGTTGAGTCACTGAATTTAAATATTTTCTTAAAGCAATCGTCTTATCTAACCATGCAATAGCTTTGAAGTTTTCATTCGAATATACATCTGCTTCATTAAATGTAAAACCTGACTTCTTTGCAGAGATGACTTTAAAAATCTATTGAGTTTGTTTCAAAATTATATGCTATGGTAACTCTGAAGGCAATGGATGTCCTTCCGCAGTCAGTTGTTCTCTCACTACCGTTTGAAGCTTTGTATTAAAAACTTTCATGTCATCTCCTGTATCTAAGTTCACATACACAGCAAACAGGAAAACTATCTTCTTCTTTGTTTCATCATATACCTCAAAACATTAAAGTTCTTCAATAATATTGTTCTTCCTGCTGGAATACTTCGAACCTGTCTGATTTCAATAGCTTTCTCACCTCCTACATTACTCTACCCAGTGTCTTGGATATTCATAAGTATACTGACTTTCTTGAATTTTGGTTGGTTTCATCATAACATGTTCATAGTATATATTTTACTCTTGTCAGTTAGACTCGCGTGCTATGTTCTGAATATTTCTGACTTGCATTTTTAATGGAGATAAAATGAAGCATTTAATACATGACGTAGATGAAGACATGAATGAAACTACAGACAAACTTAACTCTTCTCTTATTCTTCCTTTCAGCAAAGATTATGAGTTCTGTTCAAATGGTGTGTATTTCTATTGTGGAAAGATGGGTTCAGGTAAGACATTTAACCTCATTCGTCATATACTCATAACAGAACGTTTAGGAAATGACTCATATTATGACCAAATCATTATATCAGCAACTTCAGACTCTATGGATTCAACAGCGAAAACATTTATGTCAAAAGTTCAAGCCTCTGTCGTTAAAGTTCCAGACAGTGAACTCATTGAATTTCTTCAACGTTACATTCGACGTAAGAGAAAATATTATGCCATCGTAGAGTTCATACAGTCAGGAATGCAAAAGACTTCTGAGGAGATGGAAAGAATTATTGACAAACACCACTTACGTCAATACTCAGGAGTTTACGATATGAAACGACTGACAAACTACATTCTATCAAAACTTTCAAAATACCCCTTCAAAAAATATCCTTCAAACACTCTGCTCGTTTGTGACGACTTCGCTGGTAAAGGTTTAGTTTCAAAGCCTGACTCACCATTAGCTAACATCATTACTAAAGTCAGACATTACCATTTAACTGTAGCAATACTTATGCAAACATGGAGGTTTTTAGCTTTAAACATAAAACGTCTCATAACTGACTTCGTTATCTTTCAAGGTTTCTCACGCTATGATATTGAACTCATTTGGAAACAGTCAGGTATAACATTACCTTTTGAAGAAATTTGGGAAGCATATAAGTCTCTCATCTCTCCTCGTTCATACCTTGAGATTCATATCATGACTAATACCATTAAAGTCAAAAATATTACATGGGAACGACCAACATTGTTTTAAAGTTTAACCTTCAATTGACTGATGGTAAACAAATTCCATGCATCTCTGTCGCCATTTCTGTTAATATTTTTGCTGTCATTCATATCATCCACTTCCCCATCCGTTAGCTTTTGAGGATATGCGTTAGAATAGCTGTTCTTAAATGAGGCTTTTCACCTTTGAGAGCATAAACTCTATAACTTTCTGCATACTTTATGTTTGAACATCTTGAGCCATCATTGACATAAATTTTTATAGGCTTCCACCCTTTGTTCATGTTCCTGCTTCTTCCCTTAGCTCTTTTGTTCAGTAGTTCTACATCTTTATACACAGCACCTGTCTCAGTGAATTCAACAATATTTCATTCGTTAGCTTTACATTCAAACCCTTGTCGAGTATATTGTTCATTTCATACATATAAAAGGTTTTTATTCTATATGAAATGAGAAGCAAATCCATCTTAGCTGGTGCCGTTAATGTTCCAATTGAACCAACATCAAATGTTGACTCACGAACGACAAACAATATTGTCATAAAGAACTATAGTTCAGAATGTTTGAAAGAAAAAGAACCAGAACTTAAGTCGGGACCTTCGGTCTTGGAGCATGGCGCCGTGAATTTAAACTCAGCTTCAAACGCTAACGCTACATCAGATGTTAAGTTAGAGTATCCACCACTGGACAAATTCTTTCAAGAGAAGCCAACGACAACCCTTACACAAATGTTCAAACAAATCCTTCAGATAACGTAGACCATTACCTTCTTCAGTTATACCAAACAATTTTACTCAAAGACGATAAGAAGCTTTTGACAAATCTTATAAGCAAGAACCAAATAATTCTAACAAAGGAGGACCTTGAAAATGTTATATCACGAATAACAGGGAAACAATGTGTCATTGACTATCTCGACCCTGAAATCGAATGCTGTGGTCAAACTCCACTATTCATGAAAATAGGTAACATCCGCATCATTGAAACACCAGGAACTACAGGAGTTGAGTTTAAGTATAAATATTCGAACGAGTATACAAAACTATCTACTGACTATAAACTTTGTTTGAAATATGTTTTAGTAAATTAAAGCAATTTGTAATATCTGTCCAAAACTTCTTCAACAGTATCGAACTCATCTTCATAATGCAAACCTAATCTTATTGACTTGGTGCAGTTTTCACTAACACAATATTTTTCTGTTCTCTTGACTGACATAACTAATTCATTTGTTTCATCAAACAGCAACAACCAAAGTTCATGACCTAATACATAACATTCATACTTTATATTTTTAGCTCTGAGTTCTCTTGTAAGCTGTTGCATTTAATATTTTCTAAAAAGTCAACTTCAACAGTCATTCGCACTGGTGCCTTCAGTTCTACAGGCTCTCCTTGAAAGTCAACAAGTCTGAATTGCATGTCTTTCAAATTATGAGGACTAATGCGAACCCATTTACCTAAATGAGTTGCTATGACAGGAACGTTTGGAATGAACATTGAATTTACTTCATAACAGAATGATTTATATTCTACTGAACCTTTACTATTAACTCCTGAAATGCCTGTGACATTAGCTATTTTAGACTCAATGTATAAACAATTACCATAACATACGTATGGAACAGATTTCATCTCAATCGTTTTGTCAACACTTTTCAAAGGAAATGTCATATGGTATGCACCCAAAAGAAGTTGAACTCTATGACTCATTCGTGTTATCTTAAACTCCTTCGCATAACTGAACTTCAATGTTCCCTCAGAAGAAGTTCGACATCTATGTTGTCAATAGTTTCTTCATTTATGAGAGCATTTAACACTCCAGCAATTTTATCTATTCTATACTCTGCTCTGTTAGGAAATGTTATAACACTTCTTTTGTCATCTATTTCAATCTCTATGAAATCTGTTTCATCTGTTATGACAAAAGTTGCGATAGTATTGAAGTCAACAACTCTGAAAGCAAGCGCTTCATTCTGAAGACCTAAGTTTGTTTGTAGCTTTACTGTCCCGTATTCGTTTGGGTCTGTACTTTGCAAATAGAACAACATTTTATTCTCATTAAAATATGACAATTGCTGCATATGCGTATGAAACAAATGAAGCAAGAAGAGCACATGAACTAGTAAACGAAAACTCAACTTTAACCATTGAAGACAATGATTTAGTCATTGACGATGGAAAAACTAAAAAAGTCATTGATTTCGATACTTTTAACACGTATGACCCATTCATTACAATAAGTAAAGTTCCCATCATAAATGATGGAATGGTGCAATATATAAATTCTACAGTAGATGCCTCATTAGTGAAAGTATTAAATGTTCTCATTGAATTGTTAAAGAGCTTTTGATTTGACGACAACATTAAATGCCTAAAGAATTTAGTCATGAATGAGAAACAAATTCTCGGCGTTGCTGGTAGCAGTAATGATGTACACCTTATGACATTAGAATATTATAACGAACATAAAGATGAACTGAAGGAGAGAAGGTGACACCGGACCTCAAGGACCACAAGGAATACAAGGAATACAAGGACCTCAAGGCGAAAACGGTTTGGATGGTGAAGATGGAAAGGATGGAAAAACTGCTAAATCATGGATATGGAACCTTATAAATACTGGTTTAACAGCTGCTTCATATGGAGTTCTTCAATACCAAATCGGAAAGATATGGGCAGTACTTGGTGAAGAAGTTTTAGATGACGTTAAAAATGCTTTGAACTTCATTTCAAATGGTTCGGATACTATAGGGTGTCCAAAGGTGCGTTTAGCACAGCGCTCTATATGAGACTATTAAAGGAGATATATGCTGATTATAAATATATAATAAAAAATATGAATATATGTATATGATGAGTATGTTGTATTTTGGCGCCATGCCGGGATATAAAATGAATTTTGAGACAAGAGGCGGTTTCGCGGGAAATTTTGGCGGGATTTTTTTCATTTTTTTAATGAATCATAAAGAAAACATCCTCGCTCTTGCAAAAAAATGCAAAGACTGTAAAAAATCTACGAGACATTGGTAAAATGCTTCGGTATGGATGCTCCTAGCTATTCCACTGTAACGTATCATGTTAGGATGTATCACTTCATGAACAAAAAGGCGCCCATCATAAAAATTGACAAAAATCGCCGGATCAAAAAAAATCAAAGCAATTCTTCAAGTGCTAGATGAAGACCCAAGAGCATCACTCAGAAGGATAGAGGAGATGACAAAGATACCACGTACAACAGTCAGTTATTATCTGCACAATTATTTGAACTACAAACTAGCGTATACACGTTGGGTTCCGCACAACCTTAATTCAGTTCAAAAAAAATCTAGAGTCCAATCTTCGAAAGAGCTCCTCTCTATATTGGGTGCGTATCAATCCAAGAAGTTTCGCTTTTTAGTAACAGGGGACGAGTCTTGGTTTCAATATGCAACAGAAGCCAAAATCATGTGGATCCCGAAGGATGAAAATCCGCAAACATTCCCGAAGAAAAAAATTGACACACCAATGATGATGTTGTCGGTTTTTTGGGGCGTGAATGGCATCATCGCAATTGATATTCTTCAAAAACCTAATACGATGAATGCTCAGTATCTAATTGATAATGTTCTTACTCAAATTATCAATTCTGATGAGTTTGAGAAATCCAAACAACAAAAACAAAAGTTTGCAATTCATTTTGATAATTCAAGAGTTCACAAAAGTCATAAGGTAATGAATTACTTGGTGGAAAACAATGTCAAAGTTGTTCCAAACCCAATTTATTCACCTGATATTGCACCCTCTGACTTTTATTTATTCGGCACGCTAAAAAAGAGAGCCGAAGGACGCGAATTCGCGAGTCCAGATGATCTTGAAAATTTTGTAAGAGAGCAATTTGAGCAATTTTCTCATGATGATTTAAAGCGTGTCTTTCAAGCCTGGATCGATCGCTGCGAACGCGTGATTGAATCCAATGGTGATTATATTTAAATAAACTTTATATATATGTAACTTGTTTATTTCTATTCGCAGTATTCAGGTTTGTGCTAAACACACCTTTGGACACCCTATATTAAAACTTTATCTGGTTGGATGCAAGAAACAAGGAGTCAAATAGATACTGTAAGACGTATAGCAAACAATGCACGTACGGGATTGGATACTTTACGAGAAGCACAAAATACACTAAAGGAAGCAAATGATATTCTTGGCTCAGTATCAGACATGCATGAAGATTGGCTTAAAGGTATTGACAAATCTTTAAAAAATCACAGTCAGTCTATTGCTGACTACAAGAAAAGTATAGATTTTTTACATAGTGCTATGGACGTACATGATGGAAGCATAAGGAACTTACTTAATGCTAACAATAACTTACCAGGAACTATTAAAGCATTTATAAAGTCCTTTGTAAAACCTGGTGCTCTAACATTTAGGTCTTTGAGAGCAAGAGCATTGAAGTCAAGAGATGCAGAAACTCCAACAGAACCTACAGAAGGAACTGAAACAACAGAAACTCCAGAAGAACCACCAAAACCAACAGCTAATGAAATATTGTTCGAATGTTTTCCAAGGTACTCTGTTCTCATTGCAGACATTCAAGAAATACTTAAGAAAGCAGACTTGACTTTAGGAGATGATGAAAGTTCTGTATATCTTTCGTTCCAGTTTCAAATAGCAGAACTTTTGAGACAGATATGCTTAATGTATGACAACATCTCTGATTTCACAAGATATGATGACGACCATGACCCCGAACACGGTGAAGAAGAAGTTTTACAAACATCCATTAAGACAGGAAAGGTTTTAACTCAAAGTTTCATTATTGACACCAAAGATGGCGAAGTGGACGTTCTTCAAGAGCTGAAGAAAAATACTTCTGAAGGAGGTGGTGGTAGGCATGAACTTGAAATAAATGAGATAGAAGAGAAATTAGCCGAAAAAGCAGATAAAAACCATGTTCATTATATAAGTTCAGATGAACAGATTATAACGGATTATCATGGATATTTAACACAGGATGAACAAATAAGCACTGAAGATGTTAATGAAAGAAGATATAAATTCATTCGTGCTAAAGGTTATGACATACACTGTACTGTACAGTATGACACAGGTAAAGCACCAGAAGCATTTGGTTATAACAATGAAATTTATGCTTCATACTTCTTTGTTAACGGTGTATTAGTTGAACCAAGATTTACTTTGAGAGTTAAGGCAAAAATAACTTTTGAAGATGCTATTAAAAGTAAAGCTGACAAAGATGAACTTGACGCAACGAACAAAGTTTTGAAATCTCATAAACACAATATCTCCGATATAAATGAACTTCAAGCTACATTAAATAGTAAAGCTGACAAGAACCATACACATAAATCCTTCACTACTGTTAGAGCAGACGACATAATATTGAACTATACCCTTGGTTCAAGTGCACCTTTAGAGAATCCGAGTACAAGCGTAAAAGATACACTAAACTCCTTAAATAGTAAATGTATGAACATTGAAGGTCATGTCAGAAACTTTGAAACACATGAACTACCAGCAATGTTAGATAAAAAAGCAGATAAAGAACATACACATAACTCCTTCACTACTGTTAGAGCAGACGACATAATATTGAACTATACCCTCGGTTCAAGTGCACCTTTAGAGAATCCGAGTACAAGCGTAAAAGATACACTAAACAATTTAGATAACAGTTGCAGGAATATCGAAGATCATGCCAGAAACTTTGAAGCATATGAACTACCAGCAATGTTAGATAAGAAAGCAGACAAAGCAGAGCTTCAAACATTAAAGACTGAAATACTTCAAACATTATATCCTATAGGCTCTATTTATACGTCAATGAATTCAACAAATCCAGAAACAGTTTTAGGTTTTGGTACGTGGAAGCAGATTGTAGATAAATTCTTATACTGTGCTAGATATTCAAAGCAAACAGGAGGTTCGAAGAAAATTAAAGAAGCAAACCTTCCACCGCACACTCATACAGGAACTACAAACACAACAGGTAGTCATTCACATTCAATAACAAAAAGAGGTTATACAAATCTTGCAGCAGGTTCGGATAGACAGGGAATGAATAGATATGATATTTCAAGTGACCCAGTAGATTCAGGCGCAGGTATTTTCTGTGGAACCACAGGAAATCATTCACACACTTTCACAACAAATCCAACAGGTTCGGGTGCAGATTATATGCCACAATTTGTGACTATATTCGCATGGTACCGCGTTCAATGAACGCGCTTGAGCCTAGAATAAAATCTTTAACTTTACATAAATGAGCTTGAAAGAAGTATTCGAACAACATCCATGGAGGTCATTTATGAAATTCAATGAAGCTGCAAAGAGTTGGGGATTTACTAACAGAGCTGAAGTGAAAAGGTTCTTTGACAAAAATGTTGTACATCAAACAAAAATAAACTTACGACTACTTTTTACCAATTTACTCCAACACTCCTGACGCATACCAATTTGACACTCTCATTCAAAGCAGAAAAGGAGGACATAAACCATTCCTCATCTTCATTAATGTTAACACTCGTAAAGCATATGCATATCCAATGAGGAATAAAGGAACTCATGAAGTTTTAAGAGTTTTACAAAGTTGTAGCAGAACATAGCCAAGTACTTTAACATCAGACCAAGACAGTGCATACCTCAGCAATGAAATCACAGATTTCTCATTAAGCATAACATAACTCACTACACTACTGAAGACCATAACCATAACATACTCGCATCATAAACCGCTTCATAAGAACGCTCAGAGATTTAAACCAAGAGCGAGACTTTACCGAAGAAACAATGAACATTTTCTCGAAGTATATAATTCCTCAAACATTCTACAACAGGACATACACCAAATTCAATGACACAACAACAAGAAGAAAAGTATATACAAAAGAAACGAAGCCAAACACAAAATATCAGAAATTCAACACAATTTACCCTCATTCCTGGTACAAAAGTTCGTGTAGTTCTTGACGACAAACCGTTGACAAAGAAACGTTTAAGGTTAAGTAGAAACTATTATATCGTAGACTCTACGCAAGGTAATGGATATCTTATAAAAGCTGCCGACGACTCTATTGCGTTTTACCCTCGTCATAAATTAGTCGAAAGTAGTAATGGCAAACTTGCTGAAACCATTGACGAAGCAAAGCGAGGAGTGGTTATTGAAATACTTGGCTACAACATAAACGATGACACTTATAAAGTAAGATATGAAGGAGGCGTTGAAGATGTTATACCATCTAAGAACTTGAGAGAGTCGAAGCCAACACATCTGGGACCATTAGAGCGGGAGTACTGGAAAGACAAAAATAAGCCAGAAAGAATAAGAAAATTCTTCTAAACTTTTTCATTAGATGTAAATCAGACATGAATGAGAACAGTCATGATATCATTAATGTTTTCATAAATTTACACCAAAAAATATAATTTAGGTGAAGAGGTTAGATCTAACCTCATTTCTACCCTCATTTCTACCCTCATGAATTTTCATGAATTTCCTTAAGATAGAAAAAATAAAACTAACTTTATTTTTATTTATTTTTTTTATTTTGTATGTAAGAACAGAAATGTCAAACATTGAGTTTGAAACAGTTAGAAAGATTGACAATGACACCAAAGTGGTTAGAATTGGTGATTTAAACGTAAGATACTGTAAGAAATACAACAAATATTCTTTGTCAGACATTATAACACCATCTGGAAAGAAAACAAAGGACTGGGTTAGAATTGCTTCAACTCAGAAAATTTTGACAAGAAATCCTGAGCTTATGATATCAGTAAGATTCTATGGAACTACAGCATATCTCATTGACAAAAGTCTTATACCAATAATTCTTCTATGGATTGACCCTGTTGTTGGATATAACTTCATAACTTATGGTTCATTCGATACGGAACGTTGCAGTGAAGGCTTACTTTACATCGTTCAGAAACCGAAGGACTTCAACACAAAAAGATATAAGATAGGAAGGACATATAATATAACTCAAAGATATGACAGTACAGTCAATAGAGTCAAGGTTGTGTTCGTTAATGATATGAGAGCTGCAGAAACAGAACTACTTGAAAAGTTTGAGAAAATGTATGGTGCTCCCACGAAAGGTAAAGAAACGTTTGAAGTAGATGAGATAGATAAAGCTATAAAATTATTTGACGAAGTTGCTGAAAAATACATGTAAAGCGTTTATTTTTGTCTTTTGTGAAAATTCATGAAATTTGGTCATTTTTCACCAAAAATAATTTTTAGGTGAAGAGGTGAGATCTCACCCGTTTTTTCACCTGTTTTTTCACCCTCGCCGCTTAGCGGCTCAGACCCTTTGGGTCTCGTGAAAATTCATGAATTTCCTTAAGATAGAAAAAATAAAGTTAGTTTTATTTTTATTTATTTTTTTATTTTGTATAAAAGATATGATTTCAACAATCGGCACAACAACAATTCAAACAACTACAGCACCAAACTCGCTAGTCATGAATCCTACGTCAATGTTGGTAGAGATGAAAAGCTTTATTCCTTCTTCATATACTTTTGAAACAGAAATCCAGAAGATAAAGCAAGAACTTTTAACATGTAATTTAGACTGTAGTGCGAAAGATGAAACAAATGAACAGTATCTTTATGAAATGGAGGACCTCATCGACCATTTGCCTAAACTACCTGAAATTCAGCAGCAAAAACTAACTATTCCTGAATTCGACGAAATTGAAGTCAAAGCAACTGACTCAGTAGAAATTAAGAAATTCATACGTAAAGTAAATTATGAATTCCTTGGTTTTCATTGCAACCATAAAGTTATGGACAAAGATTGCGACATGGTTTATAAAAATATTTCTGACCTTTACAAATCCGAAGAATTTAAGACATACGATAACTTTGTTTCATTAGTTGCAAAATGTGTATGGCAGATAAGAGATAAAGATAGAAGAGGTAAAGTATGGAATGAACAGATAAAACCAGCAGCTTTTGAGTTAAAGAAAACCATTGACGCCTTAGTTGTTCTAGCTGGTTTTATTTCAATGTATAACGCAAAAACGATGCCGCAATGTTCAAAATGTAAAGCAGCAATAAGAAAATATAACTACTCAGTCAAAGAGATAGAACGTATGAGAAACGACTATGCAGACTTAAAGAAAGAAGCAGAAAAGCCAGCAGAAGATAAAATGGATATGTTGACATTTCTTAATAAAAACTATCCAACAGCAGAAGATTTCCTTCTGTCTGACGTCAAGAAGAAATATAAAGAGACTTTCGGCATGATTAAAACATTCGATGTACTAAAAGAAGAAATAAAAGCTACGAAATTGTTTAGGATTTCAAATATACATCGGACAATTCATGTAAAACGCTTGTGAAAAAAGAGGTGAAAAAGGAGGTGAAAAAACAGGTGAGATCTCACCTCTTCACCTAAAATATATTTTTGGTCAAAGCTTCCACGAGAGAAAAGATTCCTCATTCGCTAAGGATTCCAAAAATGAAAAAATCATTGATTTCGGCTGAGAAAAAAACAGCAAAACCCTTCTTCCACGGGAACAAAGAAATAAAGAAGAAATAAAGTAAATTTTTTATTTATTCCCGTGGAAGATAGAGCACTTTTATGACACTTTTTATTCACGACAAACAAGACAAACAAAGAAAATAAGAAAATACGGCGCTGTCGCGGTTCGAACCACAGACCCTGACCCCTCCATAACACCACCTTAGACCACTGTGCTACGTAGCCTGTCGACATAAGATTTTATAAATTGCATATTTGACGTAAATTTATTTCCATCTAGCTTCCCACCGCATAAGATATTCATACGTGTTTGTAAGACATTCATTAAACTTCTTTTCTATTGCATCTAATCTTGCGTTATTTTTTTCAATAACTTGTCTGTATTCTTCATCATTGTTAACCAATTTTTATCTACAAATTTTATTAGTGTTTGATTCACTTCGTTATGATAACGGTCATATTCTTTCAATACGTAAGTGAAGACAAAATGCGTCGTACCTTCAATCTTAAAGCTTAAAGAACTTTCAACACAGTTTTGAGGGTCTGTCAGTGCGTCAATGAGATAGTATTCGAAGTCAGTCAATAATCTTTTTAAAGTCATTTCATACAGGATAAAATTTAATGTTGTGAAGAAATAGTGTTTATCTCAGAAAAAATAACGCTAATTTTATTTTATTTATTTTTTTTATTTTGTATGTAAAGACAGTAATGACAACATTAGAGAACACAACAACAGTTATAGTCCATGAAGCTATAAATGAAGAATACGAGTACATACAGTATAACAAACAGTTACGTCTCATTCGTTCAGTCAAAGACGATATGTACCAAATGCAAAGTATAATGAACGCTCTTCGTTCTACAAAGCAAGCATATCATTGGTTTGAAAACCAACAGACAAAAGAACTTTTAGAAGAATTTCCTCATATGATTGCTTCCCTCGGAAAACCGGGGGAAGAGATTCCGTATGAAAATCGCAAGAATTTGGCTCCTGGTTTGAAAGGTTATTATGTTCATAGACTTTTAGTAAATGCTGTAGCAATGTGGGCTTGGCCCCGTTATGCTTGTTATATTTTCATGATGTTAGATGAACTATATAAAGCAGAACGTGAAGAGATGGAAAAGAAACTTCATGCAAAAGATGAAGTCATTGAATCCAAAGACAAAAGCATACAGAAAAGAATACCGCGTTCAGTACCAAAAGGAAAGGAGAAGAGCTATAAGTATATGATATATACTGAAGAGTTGGAGAAAGAAGAAGACAGTGACATGGTTATGTTACATTTAGTCAGAAGAAACAACAAGAGCTTTTATGACCTCGCTAAAATATATAAATCTGACAGAAACTGGTTCTATCGTGAAAACTTAACGATTTCAATGACACCGAATGAGCAAATAAAGGAAATTGTCAAAAATACTCTTCCTCAAACACACTATGACATCAAAGGTTGCACAATACTTACATTCAAAGAAGACTTAACATTACTGAAGGAAAAAATAACAGAATATTTCGATAACTTCAAAGAGGAAGAATAAAAAAATCTAAGCTAATTTTATTTTTTTATAAAATTTTATCTCATATGAAAGAACATGAATTTAGAATATTCGGAACTCATGACAGAAGAAGAGAACGAACAACATGTAAAAGATTATGCAAAATTTCTGAAGACATACAAAGCATTTAAACAATATCTAAATGCTTCTAAAGATTATGCAAAATTTCTGAAGGTATATAAAGCTTATGAAAAAGCGTATGAAAAGTTTATACATTGGGGAATTGTTGTAAAATATCCATATGAAGACTAACCAAAAATAAATTTTCTTATAAAGCTTCAGGGTCTATTTCTTCAACCATTTCACTTCCTTCGTCAATGTCAATAGAAGCTTCTTCAACCTTTGGTAAGAATTTCTGTATAACATCTTTGTTCGTTATTGTCTTCAGAGATGAAGGATAATATTTCACATTTGTTTCACCTTTCTTATATTCTTTCTGTTCGGAAAGATTTAAAGCAATACTGAAGAAGTCAATATTAGAGTTCTTTATAACAGTATAATGAGTATCTTTGACATTCACGAAGAAACTCTTTTGTTTCAAAACTACTGCTAACTCTTGTGAAGTATAACGTTTGCGGTTAATGACGATAGCTAATGGTCTGACATACTGACCAAACTTAGATTCTTTCACAAACTTCTTGTTAAAGATAACATTAACATTTGAAGCATTATTGAACTCATTCTTGATGGCAGTAGCGAGAGCATTGTATGAAAAGAACTTGCAATCTTGCATGTGTTTCATTAAAATAAAAATATTAAATTATTTTGAAAAATAACTTTAGAAAATCTAATCTAATTTTTTCAAAAAATATTTTTTTTATTTCCTACTAAAGATGTATCGGAAGTTGTCTAAGTTAGAACACTCGGAAATAAAACAACTTCTAACAGAAGCTAACATAGAAGTAGCAAAACATTACGCAACAAACAAAAAAGCACTCGCTGACTTCATTAAAGACTATAATGGTGCAATAAGTTATGATAGAATTCATGAGTTCATAAAGCCGCAACGCGGCGAGGACGAAGTCCATGCAAGAGCATTTCCTTTAAATGACGTTGCTATTGACTTATATCATAGACGTTCAGTACCTCATGAAGTAAGAAGAGAAATGTTTGACATAACAAATGCAAACGTTGGTGAAACGAGAAGAAGAGACGACACACTGAAACAACAGAGAAGAGAGATGTTTAAGAGCGCTATAGAACAAGTTCGCAAAGCTAACGATGTCATTCGTTCCATTGACGACAAACCAAAAGAAGGTGAGAGATGGTTAAAGAAAGATGAAGAGAATAGGAAGAGAAATGTGAAGTCAGGCAATAGACTCATTGACTTTAACATCGAAGCTTTAGATGAACCAAACAGAGACTACTTACACAAACATTTCGGTAAGGTTTTCATGAGACTCTTAGAGAAAATTAAAATAAACTCACAACAGAGATGGATGGTATGTTATAAACTTGGTGGAAAGTATGAATGTTCTACGTTAAACCTCAATAATATTGGAACATTACTACATCAGCTCTTGAAGGAGAACTTTATATCAGAGATAGAAGCAAATGCTGCAGGTATTGTTGAAATGCACTATGACTTCTTCTTGACAAACATAAAGAATCTTACCGAAATAAAGATGTATGATTTAACAGAATATGAAGGCTTAACGATGTCAGATGTAAAGAAAGGCAAACCAAAAAAGAGACCATATAGAGATGAAAGCACACTGACAAATGACCAGAAAGCCATTTTGGAAGCTCTTAAGCAAACAGGAAACCCAGCACTTATAGAAAGCTTTTGGAAAGATAATGGTGAAAAGAAGTTTTATAAGAAGAGAAGCGGTCAGTTCTGGAAGTATCTTTGCACATTACCTATAAATCTTGAACGCTACCAAATCTTCAATGAACTGAACAAAAGAACTGCAACACTTATGACAGAAGATAACTGCTTCGTTTATGCTTGCATTCAGGCTGGAGTAAATGAAGAAACTATTGACCACATGAGAGAAGTCATTCGTGTTAGAGACTTTCCTCAAAGTAAAGTACAAGAAATTTCTGACGCAACAGGTATAGCATTTAATGTTACCATTGGTTACTTCAATGACTCAAGACATAATGAAATAAAGAGATACATACCAAAAGAATGTGAAACTGTTCGAACTATTGACTTACTTCTTGTTGAAGACCACTACATGCTAAATGAAAGATTACCAATGACAACATATTTCATTCGCAACTATATAGAAATCTTGAAGGAGTGTGGTGGAATGAACATTGAGAAACAAATGAAGATTTATACAAAGAGAGAAGATAAATATGTAGTTCGTTATGATAGAACAACACCGTTATGGGATGTTATGAAAACATTGTGGGAGTGCAAATATTTCGAACCTATTTCTTATGGAGAACTTTTCACATATACGACTGACTTATATAAACAGAACCTTGCACCATTTAAAGATTTGACATATGCTCCAAAGTATTGTGTACAACTGAAGAAGAAAGCCGAGTCAAAAGAAGTAAATAAAAATAAGTGCAAGTTCATTCCTGAGCACGTTTTCTTTGCTGACTTTGAGTGCAGTACCGATGGCTTTCATAAAGCTTTTAACATATGTTACGACAGTGAAGATGGTTCAGTGAGTGAAAGCATTTGGGGTCAGAACTGTGCAACAGAATTTTTGGAACGACTTCCTGACAAGAGTTTAATATATTTCCATAACCTCAGTTATGATATAAACTTCATCTTAAGACACATGACAGAAGTGAAAGGAACTCCCATCATTAAAGGTTCACGAACAATGCAAATAACTGGTTTATATAAAGGAAGGGCAATTATTATAAAAGACTCTTACAGTGTTATAAATAAGAAACTTAAACTATTTCCTGCTATGTTTAACTTACAAACAGGACCGAAAGAAGTATTTCCATACAACTACTACAGCAGTGTTTTGTTAGCAAATGACAACAGAACTGGTGTCATTTCTGAAGCATGTAAGTTTATCCAGGATGCAGATACATTCATGAAAAACATAGATTCCATCAAAGGTTGCAGAATAGATGAGAACCACTTCGACTTAGAAAAGTATAGCACATTTTATTGCAAACAAGATGTAAGAATTTTAAGAGAAGGTTTTGTTAAGTTCCGCAATGACATATTGAAAGAATTTGATTTAAACGTTTATGACTACGTTAGTATTTGTTCAATTGCTAACAAATTATTTGAGAACAGAATATACTTCCCTAATGGAAATTTATATGACTTTTCAAATAAACCAAGAGAATTTATTTCACGCTGTATTCAAGGTGGAAGATGTATGCTGTCAGATAACATTAAACAAAAGAGCGAAAAGAAACTCATTGCTGATTTCGACGCTGTTTCATTATATCCATCAGCTATAGCAAGACTTTATACTTTAGAAGGTATTCCAAAGGTTATGAAGAAAGAAATGTTAAGCACAGAGTATCTCATGAGACATTTATTCGATGACGACCAAAAGGAACCCATTGGTGAAAAGTTTATGTCTGGCTTCTTTGTTCTCATTAAGATAACAGAGATTGGAATACATAGACACTTTCCTTTAATAGTTTGTGACCCTGAACTAAATCCAGAACTTAACGTTCCCAGAAGTTCAAACACTTGCTGTTTAATGTATGTTGACCATATAACATTACAAGACCTCATAAAATATCAAGGTGTCAAATGTGAAGTGTTGCAAGGATACTATTACGATGGAAACAGAGATATTAGAATAAGAGATGAAGTAAAGAAGTTGTTTGAGTTAAGGTTAAAGTATAAGAAAGAAGGAAATCCTTTGCAAGAAAATATAAAGCTCATTCTGAACAGTATTTATGGCAAAACTATTCTATCTCCTATTGAGTCAAAAATAACCATAGTAAATGACAAAGATGCTATAAGATATGCCATCAGAAACTACAACCATATAGTGAAGTTCGAAGGTTTGGATGGTTCAGATAAAACTATTTTCAAGCTAACGAAAAGCATTTGCAGACACTTTAACTTCTGTCCACTTGGTGTTAACATTCTGTCTATGTCGAAGAGAATAATGTGTGAAGTATTCTGTACTGCAGAAGATATGGGACTTCAAATATTTTACCAGGACTGTGATAGCATGCATATTTTCAATGAAGACATACCAAAGCTTGCAGCAGAGTTTAAGAAGAGATACTGTCGCGAACTTATAGGAAAGAACCTTGGTCAATTTCATTCTGACTTCGCAGAAATAACACCTGGAAAACAAAGTTTAGCATACAAGTCAATATTTTGTGGAAAGAAGACCTACATAGACTTACTCACTAACGATTTAAATGAAGTTGCATTTCATGCACGTTGTAAAGGTGTAAAACAAGACGTCCTTGCTTTAACAGCTAATGAAATGTTTCCTGAAGCTATACAATGCTATTACAATGAAGATAAGAACATTCACATACCTGTTGGAACATATGACAAAGACTCTGAGTTCAGTTTAATGAAACTTTACAAAGCACTTCATGATGGTCAAGAGATTGGATTTGACTTATGTAAGTCATGTCAACCTTGCTTTGCTGAAAAGTTTAACTTCTCAATAACAACTAAAACAAGCTTTATTCGTAAGTTGAAGTTCTGAGGTCATTTATTTTTGTCAGCAATGAGGTCATTCGTGATAAAAATAAGCCGCTAGCGGCAAGGGCGAAGCCCATGTGGTCATTTACAATACTGCGATGGTAGAGTTTAAGAGTTGTGCTTCAATGTAGAGACAGTCCTTATGGTCTGGAGGTAGCAAAACAGGTGCTTTATGGTCATGAGTGGAGAACATGTCTATCCAAAACTCACGATTGAAGCCAGTTAATTTATAGTATTTAGGGTTAGGAAGTGGTGTAGTTCTTGTATGACCAATGAACTCATTTTCAACTCCCTTACTTAAGTTTGAATATAATATAGCTTGCTTTCTATCCCAAATGCCAGGTGTTACAATCTTTGAAAATTCATTTTTCCTCGGAAGCATTGCATCATAATTGAAAACATTCTTGAAATCATCACTTGGTTCAGAGATTTGAAATCTTATACGTAATGGATTTTCTTTCTCTTTAGCGACTTCATTGAATGGTGAGAATACAACAAACTGACAGTCATGTGTTCCATCTTCATTTTCATTAAATTCATAATGAAAGTCTATAAGTTGTGGCTGACTACCTTCTTCTTTCAGTTGTGCAAGAAACTCACGTAAAGGCTGTAAAGTTTGTACTTCAATGTTGAACTTTTTCTCGAACATCTCATTAAATGAAATCATACATTGTAGCAATGTTGTATCGTCTTTAAAGTATTTGTATATGTGAATGTTTTGGGCACTTAAAGACTGTTCGTCATTTTCTATCTCGACTTGAAGTATAAAGTCAACCTTTCTGAAAGCACGTGTTATGTACATATTTGTTATGCCAATGTACTTCTCTTCATTTATGTTCACAATCCAGTCTGTTGGAAACTTAAACGTTACTCTGTTCCCCTTTATTTTGACGTCAGGGTTTTCACTACTGAACGCAACAGATAAAGGTATTTGTCTATACATTTAATTCGGATAAAAATAAACCATTTACTCTTTCTTTGCTTTTGCTTCTTTTGCTTTTGCTTCAGCTTCTTCTCTAGCTTTCTTCGCCAGCAAACGTGGGTTCTTTTGTCTTCCAGCAGCTAATGCAGCAAGTTGTTTTTCACTAAGTTTTCTCTTTGGTCTCTCTGGCTTTTGTTCTTGTTTTTGTTCCTTCAGTTCGGATAAAATTTGCTCACGAATTTCTTTCTTCAATGCTTCAACATCTATGACCCCTTGGGTCTTGTCCGTAGGGCTTGTCTGAGTCATTTGACTGCAGATAAAAAACAAAATTAAAACTTTAACCGATGTAAAATGAGCTTGTCAAAATCAGAGCGAGAGTCTATTATATTAAATGACGCAAGAGGAATACAACATCCTTTCTATTACGTAAGTCAGAGTAAAGATGGTAAAATATACGTAAGAAAAAGAAAGGTTCCATTAGCGAATGCAGAAAGCGACAACATTAAGGTGTATGGCAAGGGTGAAGCCCACGAAGCCCATGTTAAGCCTTCTGTTCAAACTGAGCCACCAAAAGAACAAGAAGAAAAGAAGCCAGATGTACTTTCAATAACGAAGAGCTTATTGCAAAGTTCGTGAATTTCATTGAAAAACAAACCGAGTCAAAGAACCCTGACCCACCAGTGAAAGAAGTTGAGACAAAAGAGAATGTACAGTTCATTGAAAATGTCAAGAAACAACTTCCACCACGAATGCCAAGAAGAAGAGTGAGAATAATGAAGTAAATAGATATTTTTATCCGAAGTAAATACATGCAGAACGAACAGTTAAACGAATTTACTCCAGCAGAGCATATTCATCAGATTCGCTCATATTTCGATATCATAGACAATGCAGTTCAAATTGGTGACACTAATAGAAAATATTCTGACGCAAAGATTCCATCACAACCTGGAACTGCTAAAGATAAAACATGGGTAACATTCAATTTCTCACCTCCTGGTGAAAATATGTTGGACCTTTACAATACATTCATTACGTATAAAATGGAAGGTCAATTTATTGTAGATAAAGAAATTGGTTCAGGTTCCAATAAAACAAACCCACCAGGATTTTGGATTGGTTTCGATGACGCTTTCTATGCAGTTGCTGGATATCAAATCCTTGCAAATGGTCGTATCGTATATTCTCAAGACAACGCAAGAGAAGAAGCATATATAACTTCAAACTCACAAACTACCGAACAAATAAAGAAAGTAGATGTTTTCTCAAAGACTCGACATGAAGATGTATGGAGTCATTCGGGAACATGCAGAACAGGACAAATTGTTAGTGGTCCAATTACAGCAGGAAAATCATTTGATTTTAAGCTTCGTTTAAGAATTCCTGTTAGAAGATTCCTTCCATTAGAAGCTATTCGATTTATTCCAGCTTTTGCAGGAAACATTCAGCTTAAAGTAAAGTTCAGTAGCGACGCCTTACAATGCACATCTATATCTGTAAATGATATCATTGCTTTCAATCCAACTCTTAAAGTTGCATTTGCTTCAGATTCAAATCCACCGACAAATAAATTTGTTCCATGGAATGAACCATTCACTATGATAACGAAGGCAGTAGAAGCTAGTGGAACAGTTACTATTACAACTGTAACCCAGCAACTATTTCGAACAAAGATGGATTTTAATGAATGTTTCATTCATCCAAAGTCATTCTCTTTAGACCCTAACATTTATACAGAACTTGTAGAACATTATACAAACGAGGCTTTATGTTTTCCTGTTAAAGTTATGGATTGGATTCCTATGGACGGTTCATTCTCAAAGAATACAGATAGTTCAAGTGCAACATTTACAGCAGCTTATACGCCTATTAATGTTAAAAGTATTTGGGCACTATTTAGAAAGAAAGACAACTATTATGTTAATTTTGAGAACCCTAAGTTTAAATATCTTCAGCTTTCCATGGGAGCTTATGGAAATATGCCTGCAGAACCTGAAAAATCATATGGACCTGTATTTTATGAAATGGTTGCGAACGCTTGCAATACAAACAATGATATGATAGGATTTAATGAAGATGTTATGAGGTCATTGGTGGATGATGGTAGTGTGGAACATAAATGGGATAGCTATGACAACACACATTTCTTATGTGGTTTTCCAACAGAAGTGGACTTTTGCTTCCAACAAGGTCAAACATCTACTGCTCCAATAACATACAAATTGTCTGTTAAAGGACCTATTGAACTAGCAACTGAAAATGTACCAAAGCCACTTATTGGATTTATGAGGGATTGTTGCTTTGCCATTCAGGTGCGTGCTAATGGAATCCCAATAATAAGATTAGATGACTATAACTTAGCTACGGACGACGGTGAGGAATAAAGGATGAACGTTTATTTTTAAAGCTTATAAATGAGTTCTTCATCAAGCTCTCGTGAACCTTCACCATCTATGAAACAAACTTTACCAAACGATTATGGAGCACCTATTGAATATTTCTTACGAGCTGCACAATGGCAAAGAGCAGTCTCACCAAGGTTAGGTGTTCCACCAGCTCCTGTCAAAAATAGCATTTGGTCAAGTCCTTATATAAGATATGGTCTCCCACTAGGTTTGCTAGCTACAGCAGTAGCAGTTATGATGTTGAAAAGAAATAAAGCAAATGTTGTAAATAATACTGAAGTAGCTGAAGTTAAACAAACTCCAACACCTTCGCCAAAACCAACGCCTTCACAAGCAAAACCTTCAATGACTCCTGAACCTATGGAAGTACAAACTCCTGTTCAAAAGTCAACTCCTAAACCGACTCCAACATTTAAACCAGAACCTACTCCTCAAATAAATCGTAAAACTCCTGCGTTTCCTTACTGAAAAAATAACGTTATTTTTATTTAATATTAAAATTTTTATTTGATTGAAATGACAAATAAAGTCACTGAAGCAATGAAACAAAAGTTTTTGGTAGAATACATTAAATCAGGAACTATTCCAGAAGGTTTTTACATTCATACTATGAAGGATGGTAGAGTTCAGTTTAAAAAGATAAAGCAACCATTAGATAGAGAAGGTATATTAAGGAAGATTAAACTTCATGAGGACAACATTGCTGAACTTAAGAAGAAGTTAGAAGAGTTGGAGAAAGGAAGAGAGTTATAAAGCAATGAATTCAACAGGGTGAAAAAACAGGTGAAAAAAGAGGTGAGATCTCACCACTTCACCTAAATTTATTTTTGTGCTATGTTTTCATACGTGTGAGGGTGGTGATATCATTATTTTTTATTTTATTTTTTATTTTATTTTTTATTTTATTTTTTATTTTACTGAAAACTTTTATTTGGATGTAAATGACAGAACAAAAGCAACTCATTCGAATTCCACAGTATAACAAACATACATTTAAACATTTATTCTTCCTTCCTGAGCATAACATGTTCTTTCAAATACATCCGAGACCAGTTGACTTTTCATTGACTGTGTATAAAGATAGAAATAGTTATATCATTAAACCATACGATGACGAAGGTAAGTTATGTAAATTGTACGTTAAGAAGTTAGAGAAAGTTTATGGCTTCAAGTATGACTACAATAGGGTTAACACTGATGATGAAGATATTGAGGAAAATTTATGAGAACATTAGTGAAGTCGTTAGTGAGAACGATAGTGAGAACGTTTATTTTTTACATTAGTGAGTTCGTTAGTGAAGTGGTTGGCGGCTTTGTAAAGTGTCAAATTCACAAGTATTGGGTAAGGTGGAACGCAGTGCCGCCGTACCCATGACTTGTATACTAACTGAAATTCATTTTCGATGAATTCTTCTTCATATTGTTCCTCTTCTTCAATTTCTTCTGCTTGAAGTAAGTGAGATTGAGCTGGTTCCTCTCTAGGATTTTCTTCTTCTTGGTTCTGTTCTTCCTCGGGAGATTCTTCTTTAGTATCGAATACTAATAATTTCATTAGATTATAAAATTCTTCAAAATTGTCTCGTGATTTAAACTTATCCACTTTTCTTAATATGGCGCGAAGGACATGCACGCCACACCAAAGAATATGACAGTTTGGAATACCTCGCTCAATTGCCTCGGCTATTTGTGGGGCGCAGTCCATACTTATCATCTCGGGTTCTCTATTAATATATTGAAAATAACGACAAACACAATATTGAATATTTTCGCTTGTGTCAGGAGAAATAAAGAAATACAAAAAAGGAAAAACAATAGTATGTTCTGTTTTTCCTGTGAGTGCATATAATGGAATGTTAGCCCTTAGAAGTTTATACGTTGAATCGATGTGAAACGTAGAAATTTGGTGACCAAGGGCCTTCGCTTCGAAAGGTGCATATAAAAAAACTAGTTTTCCCGGCTCAGAGATAAATTCAATTAAATCTTCTGGACAACTTTCTTGAACAGATTCGACAAAGATAGCTAAAGAAACTTTTTCATCCGAACTAAAGCGTTTGGAAACAATTTCAGCTCTTTGAGCAAATTTACGTAATGCATCTGGACCTTGTGCAAATATTGAAAGTAACTCTTCGTCTGTATATGAAATATTTAAGTCTTGGAAACACTTAAGTTGAGCTGTAGCATGATTCATATTGTTTTCAAAGTAATGTTTAAGATAATTTCTGACAAATAATGAGGATATTGTTTTTGTTGATTTCGGAGGTGCAGAATGATCATGAGAGTCAGAGTGGATTAGTAGTTCATATTTATCTTGATCTATTATCCGGACTTTGAATTTAGCTTGACATTGTGGATACTTACATTTGTATTCGATCGTGGAGTATTCTTTCCTGCATTTTTGAGAGTAGCCCATGCTAGCTTTTATCTCTTCTTGGATACCAAACTGGAGGAGCTCCATAGTGTTGAATATCACGGGCTCCATACAACAAATTGAATAAGGTATTTCAAAATTTGAAGGAAATGGTCCATCATTGAATGTAGTGGCCGGGAATTGAATGACATACAGATAGTTTGAGGAAATTTGTTATAAATTATAATATAATTGAAGAATTAATTATCAAAACAAGTCTAAGAGCCATTTGTCGGATTTTCCCGAAATGCAAGGTTAAGATTTTAGCAGCGACTAACTTTGAGTGTACATATATAATTGTTATACTGAGTACTTTCTATCTGTGTTACTTATTTGAGTCTAAGAGCCATTTGTCGGATTTTCCCGAAATGCAAGGTTAAGATTTTAGCAGCGACTAACTTTGAGTGTACATATATAATTGTTATACTGAGTACTTTCTATCTGTGTTACTTATTTGAGTCTAAGAGCCATTTGTCGGATTTTCCCGAAATGCAAGGTTAAGATTTTAGCAGCGACTAACTTTGAGTGTACATATATAATTGTTATACTGAGTACTTTCTATCTGTGTTACTTATTTGAGTCTAAGAGTCATTTCTACCATAGAACTAGATATTGTCTCTCATTAAATATATATAACTGTAAACTGCTTAATTCATTTATCTATTTAGATAAAATTATATTTATATAAGATTTCATGTTATTATTTCATCTTTATTATTTTTTTTATTCCTTTGAAAAGTGACACTGGATAGTTTGTCCCTTTCTCCCCAGAATGATACATTGCGACCAACACGAGTGAATGGGACACTCTATTCTTTCAATTTTCTCATTAATATTTTATCTTTTTTTATTAGATCAATAAATAAACTCTTTTAATGTTCACAATTACATAAATCCATATGAATCAATTCGCTATTTATTTAGTCTCTAATTTTAATAGCTTTTTTAAATCTTGCAATCTAAATAATTAATATATGCAGGTCATTTTATTTTTTTTTCATAATTACATTATATATAATAATAGATTATATGTCCAAATCGAACAAATTGTGAATTTTTACTTTTGAATGGTATTCAAATTTACCCTCTCCTAAGAAAATGCCCCAACAATAGAATTCGCGACACTTTTTATCCGCAATTTGAACTTCAGTGGCGTGGCTACATGAATAGAAAGTTCCTAAATTAACTGATCTCAGAAAAATTAATGATCTTGTGTGGAGTAGGTGACAAAAGTGCATACTCTTAAATTAACCTTAAATGTTGATTTTTCGATATTTTCGGTATTAACCTTATTGTAAATTTTTCCGGTGATAAATTTATCACACTGAGGTTATTTTTCCGGTGAGATTTTTAACCTTGATTTAATGAAATTAATATATATAAATTTTATTATTTTTAATTTCGAATGAGTATAATAAAATATTTTTGAACCTAATGTCCTTATTCCATCTTTGAAGGCAATATTAAATTTGGCACAAAGAAGTTTAAAGGAAGAGTAAGCAAGATTAGATAATTTGGACTTTTTTTAAAATTAATGAATAAACAGTATATTTTTGAAGTGTAAGCTTATTTACCTGAAGCTATATTACTTAATATAACATTCAAAGTATTATTGCTATTTATTGGAGAACAAATTTATGTAATTTTCACATGAAAATTGATAAATTTGTATTTCCTTATGATAATCAATTTTTGTATTTGTAGAGAGTCTCCCTGCATGATATCAAGACTTGGCTATAAGTCTCTATTCATTATGAGTATGACCCCATTTTTTTACAAAAAGTGCCGAATTGCAACTTTGTCCCAATCTCATCTTGGGTGGGAAGGAAAGATCAAAATAATTTCATTTTCGATATTTTCAAAAATAAATAGAAAAATATGCATTGGTTATTTATTAGTACTTTGATAAATATATTAAAAATGAATAAATTTTAAAAAACAAATTGTCAAGATTTAAAAATAAGGAGATACGCAATAAAAATTTATTTTTCCTATATCACACATAATGACAAGCATTTTGGATATAGAAAAAATCTTCGATCATTTGTATGGGTGACAAAAGTCTCTTTTCAATTAGAGACCTATCATCAAACATTTGTTTTTCAGAGAATCGTAGACATCTAATGCTCCATAATCTTGTGCTGTGGCTATAATATCTTTGATCGTTTGGATAGTTTGTAATTCTTGGAATGTAATCTCAACTATCTTCAAACTGTTAGTCATTGCAGTCATATCTAATGCTGTTTTTTCATTGCTATCAACGCTTGTAACGAATAGCTTCCCGCTATCGATCAGCCACGAAAAGACATCAAATCTCCAAAAATAAGCCGAAGCCGATAATGCGTTCTTGAAATCTAATCCTTTCTGTTCACAGAGACGAATTAACTCTAAGTTTCCTGATGCGATCGCATAACTAATCAAAGTTTGATTATTATAATCAACATAGGATAGATCTGCTCCATTCATAAGAAGGTATTTAAAGCAAGAAACTGATCCAAAGTATGCGGCATATTGAATTAAGCTCGGTTCATTTTTAAGAAAATAAGATTGTTCGAAAAGTGAAGAAGGCACAACTTCATCAATATCTATCTCATCTGATGCAATTTGCTCTTGTAATAATGCAAGATTATCTGTTCTTAAAGCAGAAATGGCATCGTTATTATGACCACCATGATTAAACATGTAAATTTGGAATTCTTGACGTTCTTGAAAAGTTTTTTTAGTATAAAATTGTTTGATCCATTGGTTGAATACTGATTGCGGATCATTTGGTGTAGAATTCATGAAATGATCTGAAGTCATTGTTTCTTCCATAATAACATTCATAAAATAATCAAAATTTTCTTTATCTGTTGATTCTATTAGATCTGCGAATATTGCAAATACAATGTTTCTCAGTTGTTTGTGCTTATCTTCAATTTCGCGAATAAATTGCAGAATTATCTTAATTGTATCATTCATATTCAGTATATTCATAACTAATAAGTTCCTTACTAAATGAAAATCTGGTAATAATGTAAGATAATAAGAAGTTGAAAATTTAAAGATGTCAAAAAGTAACTCATCTTTGAAATCTGGAATATTTTGAATTAGGAATGCAGTAAATTCTGTTAGTTTTCCATCTCTTATTCGATTTACAAATAATATATTGCGAATCAGAGTTTGTTTGGCTTCTTTGTATGATACATAGATTGAATCCATAATTTTATCTGCAATGCTTCCATTATCATCTTGTGTAATTCCAAGAAGTAAATCTTGCAATTCCACTGTCATCGAAAAAATAAAGTTTTTATCACTAACCATATGATTTTGACAGTTAATATGTCTAAATAAAGCTCTTTAGATATATATAAAATTCATTAAATACAATGAAGAAAGTTGAAACATTGCTTGTCACATCAAGCCGGCTAAAAACGACAAGACTGCTTTCAAAATCTCAAGTATGCCATAAATTTAGTGATCCAGAGACTGAAATTCGTTTGTGTTTTATTGGATTAAAAAACACATTTCAAGATTTTTACAGGGTCTATCCTAATAAGTATGTTGATGCAGATCTTATAAGGCAGTTCAAAAAGGTGTCTGATTCTTTTGATCTCTTTCACCATTATGTTATTTTTCATCCTTTAGAAAATAGACTGCAGACTGAAAAGATGGACTTTTATGCGCGTAGTTTAGTTGAAAACTGGATTGAATATATTAGATTTTTTCAACTTTTAAGCAAAATGGGAAGAGCACCACAATTAACTGAAATTAATCGTGCATTTGAATCATTATTTGTATCATTAGCTGATTTAAAGAATATAGGGACTAAAGGAAAGTTCAAGACTGATGTAACACTTCAGACAATTCAAAAAATACAAAAATCAATTGAATTATTAAGATCATTCGTTCAAAAAGCATTTTTAGGAAATACCAAATCGGAAAAGTTTGACGAAAATGATTTTGAATCCAAACTCGCAAATGTAACAAAAAATATTAATTTTTTATTCTTAAAATCAATAAATCACGATTGTATTACAAGTTATGAAAAGGTTACTCTTCAGACAAGTATGACTTCATCAATACAATGCATCAGAGAAAATGTTAAAAACGCAATTCTTCAACCTGATCGAATTGAGTGCTTAAAAGCAGCAATAATTGAATTTAATATGAAATTAGAAAAAGAATATATAAATAAAGGATATTTGTATCCAGTGAAAATTAACTTTGAACAAAATTCATAAATTTAAAACATTAAACTATTTAATCCATAGTATTATTAGAGCTTCTATAACTTTTATATGTTATTTTTATGTAGAATTTGACTTTGATTCATATTTTCATATTGAAATTATTTTATAATTTCAAAAGTAATTCAATAAAACCAAACATTGATTTAGTGATACAATTATTCCATATCATTATTATAAATGCATGCTTTACATTTATGGGCATAGCGTTGAGATATTAATCATAGTCTATTTGCATGAAATTTTTTCTCTTTGAGGAAACTCATATGAATATCTCAAGTTTGTATGTCCGTATCTAAATATAAGTTACCAACTAAATGTCTTTTATCTATTCTTTTTCAACTAAAAAAGCTGTAATTTTAAGAGAATGTATATAAGTTGAGGATCTAATGAGTTATCGTTAAAGAATATGAGTGCTAATTTCACTGTATGAATTTTTATGTAAATAGTAAAAACGGTAGGTATGACTTGTGAATATATTTTCAAAAAAAATTAAAAAAAAGCTGAATTTATGTGAGTTAGTTATTTAATATTGAATTAATTAATAAGATTTCATACTACACCAGCTGCACTCATTATTGTTATTCTTTGCTTCATTTAGCTCCTACGGATAGTAAATATTCTCTTACATCACTTGTTGCTAGTGATAGTGCTGTTTGTCCCTTGTCATTCTTTGCTTCTTTATTAGCACCAGCAGAGATAAGATATTTAACAACATCAAGATAGCCATTAGCTGATGCTGCAAAGAGTGGAGTATATCCATCATTATCCTTTGCTTCTTTATCAGCACCAGCAGAGATGAGACACTTAATAACATCAAGTCTACCTTTTTGATGCTGCAATGAGTGGAGTATGTCCATAATTATCCTTTTCTTCTTTATCAACGTCAGCAGAGATCAGATATTTAACAACTTCAAGATAACCATTAGCTGATGCTGCAAAGAGTGGAGTATATCCATCATTATCCTTTGCTTCTTTATCAGCACCAAGTGAGATAAGATATTTAACAACTTCAAGTTTACCTTCTTGTGATGCAAATTTTAGTGGAGTAGATCCTCCATTAGACTTTGCTTCTTTATCAGCTCCAACTGAAATAAGATATTTAACAACGTCAAGATGGCCCCATAATGATGCACAAATGAGTGGAGTATATCCATCATTATCTTTTGCGTCTTTATCAGCTCCAACTGAGATAAGATATTTAACAACTTCAAGATGACCTTTTTGTGATGCGAATTTTAGTGGAGTAAATCCAAATTTATTCTTTGCTTCTTTATCAGCTCCAACTGAAATAAGATATTTAACAACGTCAAGATGGCCACTTTCAGATGCCCAACTTAGAGATGTCGATCCATTATTACTCTTTGATTCAATGTTGCAGCCATTTGCAATGAGAGATTTAACGAGTTTAAGATTTCCTTTATGTGATGCTTCAATAAGAATATTTTTTCCATATTCTTTCTCTTTCTTTTCACCAAGTCCAGCTTCACATGCTTTCGATATCGTACTTAGGTAGGTTTTCTCTGATAGCTCTTCAAAGAATTTGTAGATTGAATCGAAATCATCAGATTCTTTGAATTCAGCTATTTTTGATTGAATTTCTTTTAACTCTGATCCTTCAGTGAGTTTGTTAATTTCTTGACTTGTTTGATGTAAAATATCAATTATACCTTCTAAGAATTCTAATTTCATAAATTGTTTGGCTGATTCAAGAACTGAAATAGAATCTTGTAAATTGTTGATTGAAACTTTTGCATTTTGAGCAACTACAAACAATTTTGATGGATTATTCGATTGGCTGATAAGATTAATGAAGTTTTCTGAACTTAAATTTGTTCTTTTTAAGATTTTTTTGATATCATCCTGTTCAAAAACGTCAAATACATTACCTTCAGAAATGTATTCATTAAAGTGATCCGCAATATAATCGAAATTTATATGAAGACCCTTATTTTGGTTCATATCCATTAAAAATTTTGGAATCCAAAATTTTGTCACTTTTCCGAACCGAAATTACATGATTAGCTTATATCGTCGCGCAGCTTCGCTTTTTTAGCCTTCTTTAATTAAATCAAATTAGTTATCTAAATTTCATATTTTCGTGACTTAATTTTGAGTAATTACGGTTACAATTTTTAACACTCAAAAGAATTCTCTACATCTATGGAACAATTTTATTGCAAAGCAATAATGATTTTAGTTGTTCATTGTTTCAGCTTGAGGACGGCGCCTTAGGTAAATAAATGTATTAAATTTATCTCGGTAGAAATGAAAAGATAAAGTCACTTTATATAAAAAATCTGACAAAAATTTTTTGATTGCCCACTTTGGGCAACCAAATTAATGTCTTGTTGTTGTAAACAGAAATTCATCAAAAGTGACACCTCAGAAAAGCTAAAATATTGAATTTTTGGAACTTTTGATAGAGCACGTTTTTAAATATTAATTAAAGTAAATGTATATTTTGTAAAGATTCTTTTTAATAAAAAAATAAAATTTTGAAGAAGAACACAAAATCTTCTGAAAAATAATATCACATAAACTCATATTATTTTCTAATATATAACTATTTTATATAAAAATCAAATTCAATGATCTTAAAAGCGAATGATAAACCTCAAAATTTACGAATATAATGAGTGGGAATATAATGCTTATCTATCATAAAACCATATGAAATATCAATTTTTGCTTTACGCCTATTCCCACTCATTATATTCGTAAATTTTGAGGTTTATCCTTCGCTTTTCAGATCATTGAATTTGATTTTTATATAAAATAGTTATATATTAGAAAATAATATGAGTTTATGTGATATTATTTTTCAGAAGATTTCATTCTATATGCCTATGAAAAGTACTCTCAAAACTAACTTTTTCCTAATTATAATTAAATCTAGAATATTGTATTATGCTTAGTATTATTTCATTTTTCTCATTCAATTTAGAATTTACAAATGTCAAAAAATTGAGAGCTGTCACTTTTGATGAATTTCTGTTTATTACATTGTCAATTATTTTCTTGGAAAGCAATAGGAATCACTCATAAAGATAACGTTCCAAAGGATGTTTGGAACTTATATTTTGAAAGCGAAAACACTAAAATTACTAAAAATAGGATCAATCCAGATATTTCTCTTTCTAATGATGAATTATTTCTATTTAAATGCATGTTTCGAGGTTATATTACATCTGGTATTAGTTTTTCTAAAAATAACACAAAAATCATGCATTCTGAATGTTTCTTTGAAAGTTGCAGTTCAAATATAGGAGCTGCTGTGTATATTGAAAATTGTGATTGTTCTATAGTACAGCATAGATTTTGTTCCCATAACTGCACAGCTTCTGTTCAAGGTCAACATTCAAGATGTTTTATGAAAACAGAATCAACAGAATGCTTAAACTATATTGATGAAAGTTCCGCATGTGAATGTGGTAAATCCAGTGGTTATTCTCTTTTCTCTCATGCATATGGGAAGATTAGATTTTCTTCTATTAATGTAAGTAAAAATATTGGTTCTTTCAATGTTGCACTAAACACCAGAAGTCAAAACTTCGAAAACCTGAATTATTCAACAATTGAAAGCAATAATGCTTCAAGTTATAGAATGATCGGTCTAGGTAACGGATATACATATAATTTTGAAAATTGTAATATCTTGAATAATTTTCAGGAAAGTTCTAATTTTGGGGTTATAGGATTAGAGGGTCAATTGACATTAAATGGATGCTCAATATTAGGAGATCACGGAAAAGGAAAAATATTTTACATTAACAAGAATTCTAATGTCACTGTAAAAAATTCGTTCTATGATGAATTAACAACTAATGATATAGGGTGTCCAAAGGTGCGTTTAGCACAGCGCTCTATATGAGACTATTAAAGGAGATATATGCTGATTATAAATATATAATAAAAAATATGAATATATGTATATGATGAGTATGTTGTATTTTGGCGCCATGCAGGGATATAAAATGAATTTTGAGACAAGAGGCGGTTTCGCGGGAAATTTTGGCGGGATTTTTTTCATTTTTTTAATGAATCATAAAGAAAACATCCTCGCTCTTGCAAAAAAATGCAAAGACTGTAAAAAAATCTACGAGACATTGGTAAAATGCTTCGGTATGGATGCTCCTAGCTATTCCACTGTAACGTATCATGTTAGGATGTATCACTTCATGAACAAAAAGACGCCCATCATAAAAATTGACAAAAAATCGCCGGATCAAAGAAAAATCAAAGCAATTCTTCAAGCGCTAGATGAAGACCCAAGAGCATCACTCAGAAGGATAGAGGAGATGACAAAGATACCACGTACAACAGTCAGTTATTATCTGCACAATTATTTGAACTACAAACTAGCGTATACACGTTGGTTCCGCACAACCTTAAATTCAGTTTCAAAAAAATCTAGAGTCCAATCTTCGAAAGAGCTCCTCTCTATATTGGGTGCGTATCAATCCAAGAAGTTTCGCTTTTTAGTAACAGGGGACGAGTCTTGGTTTCAATATGCAACAGAAGCCAAAATCATGTGGATCCCGAAGGATGAAAATCCGCAAACATTCCCGAAGAAAAAAATTGACACACCAATGATGATGTTGTCGGTTTTTTGGGGCGTGAATGGCATCATCGCAATTGATATTCTTCAAAAACTAATACGATGAATGCTCAGTATCTAATTGACAATGATCTTACTCAAATTATCAATTCTGATGAGTTTGAGAAATCCAAACAACAAAAACAAAAGTTTGCAATTCATTTTGATAATTCAAGAGTTCACAAAAGTCATAAGGTAATGAATTAATTGGTGGAAAACAATGTCCAAAGTTGTTCCAAACCCAATTTATTCACCTGATATTACACCCTCTGACTTTTATTTATTCGGCACGCTAAAAAAGAGAGCTGAAGGACGCGAATTCGCGAGTCCAGATGATTTAAAGCGTGTCTTTGAAGCCTGGATCGATCGCTGCGAACGCGTGATTGAATCCAATGGTGATTATATTAGTTAGTATACCTAAGTCGTGTACGACGGCACTGCGTTCCACCGTACCCCTGTTATGTGAATTTGACACTTTACGAAACCGTTAACGTATATTTACAACAACAAACGACAACACTAACTTAACCTTAAATATTTACAAAGCGCGCCAACCACTTCACCTCCTAACGTTTTCACAAACGACTTCACTAACGTTTTCACAAACGACTTCACTAATGTAAAAATAAACGTTCTCACTTACAAAAGTATTGCAACTCCTCCCATTGCTGTGCTTCACACAATAGTTCATATTCTTCAGTATCGCTGCTGTCGCTCCAATCGTCAGAGTCAAAGTCACTGTCAAAATAAATGTTAGTAAGTTTTGACAAAGCTAATGAAACACGCTACCGTTTGTATCGTATGCTTGTATATAACTTTCCATTCTTCCATTCCTTCATAAACGCTCAAACTAACTTTACCCTTTCTCCCTCGTATCTGATAGAATGTATTTTCACGAGGAACGAAGAACAAATTCTTGAACTCATGACCGTTGTAGTTTGTTATCTCAATAGTTTTCGTCATTACATCCAAATAAAAATTTTCAGTAAAAAATAAAACTAATGAAATTTTTATTCCTCACTGTCGTCTGCTTTCTCCAACTCTTCTAACTTCTTCCTAAGTTTAGCAATGTTGTCCTCATGAAGTTTAATCTTTCTCAAAATTCCTTCTCTATCTAATGGTTGTTTATCTTTCTAAACTGAACTCTACCATCCTTCATAGTATGAATGTAAAAACCTTCTGGAATAGTTCCTGATTTAATGTATTCTACCAAAAACTTTTGTTTCATTGCTTCAGTGACTTTATTCATTTCAATCAAATAAAAATTTTAATATTAAATAAAAATAACGTTATTTTTTCAGTAAGGAAACGCAGGAGTTTTACGATTTATTTTGAGGAGTAGGTTCTGGTTTAAATGTTGGAGTCGGTTTAGGAGTTGACTTTTGAATAGGAGTTTGTACTTCCATAGGTTCAGGAGTCATTGAAGGTTTTGCTTGTGAAGGCGTTGGTTTTGACGTGGTTTTGGCGAAGGTGTTGGAGTTTGTTTAACTTCAGCTACTTCAGTATTATTTACAACATTTGCTTTATTTCTTTTCAACATCATAACTGCTCCTGCTGTAGCTAGCAAACCTAGTGGGAGACCATATCTTATATAAGGACTTGACCAAATGCTATTTTTGACAGGAGCTGGTGGAACACCTAACCTTGGTGAGACTGCTCTTTGCCATTGTGCAGCTCGTAAGAAATATTCAATAGGTGCTCCATAATCGTTTGGTAAAGTTTGTTTCATAGATGGTGAAGGTTCACGAGAGCTTGATGAAGAACTCATTTATAAGCTTTAAAATAAACGTTCATCCTTTATTCCTCACTGTCGTCCGCAGCTAAGTTATAGTCATCTAATCTTATTATGGGGATGCCATTAGCACGCACCTGAATGCAAAGCAACAATCCCTCATAAATCCAATAAGTGGCTTTGGTACGTTTTCAGTTGCTAGTTCAATAGGTCCTTTAACAGACAATTTGTATGTTATTGGAGCAGTAGATGTTTGACCTTGCTGGAAGCAAAAGTCCACTTCTGTTGGAAAACCACATAAGAAATGTGTGTTGTCATAGCTATCCCATTTATGTTCCACACTACCATCATCCACCAATGACCTCATAACATCTTCATTAAATCCTATCATATCATTGTTTGTATTGCAAGCGTTCGCAACCATTTCATAAAATACAGGTCCATATGATTTTTCAGGTTCTGCAGGCATATTTCCATAAGCTCCCATGGAAAGCTGAAGATATTTAAACTTAGGGTTCTCAAAATTAACATAATAGTTGTCTTTCTTTCTAAATAGTGCCCAAATACTTTTAACATTAATAGGCGTATAAGCTGCTGTAAATGTTGCACTTGAACTATCTGTATTCTTTGAGAATGAACCGTCCATAGGAATCCAATCCATAACTTTAACAGGAAAACATAAAGCCTCGTTTGTATAATGTTCTACAAGTTCTGTATAAATGTTAGGGTCTAAAGAGAATGACTTTGGATGAATGAAACATTCATTAAAATCCATCTTTGTTCGAAATAGTTGCTGGGTTACAGTTGTAATAGTAACTGTTCCACTAGCTTCTACTGCCTTCGTTATCATAGTGAATGGTTCATTCCATGGAACAAATTTATTTGTCGGTGGATTTGAATCTGAAGCAAATGCAACTTTAAGAGTTGGATTGAAAGCAATGATATCATTTACAGATATAGATGTGCATTGTAAGGCGTCGCTACTGAACTTTACTTTAAGCTGAATGTTACCAGCAAATGCAGGAATAAATCGAATAGCTTCTAATGGAAGGAATCTTTCTAACAGGAATTCTTAAACGAAGCTTAAAATCAAATGATTTTCCTGCTGTAATTGGACCACTAACAATTTGTCCTGTTCTGCATGTTCCCGAATGACTCCATACATCTTCATGTCGAGTCTTTGAGAAAACATCTACTTTCTTTATTTGTTCGGTAGTTTTGAGTTTGAAGTTATATATGCTTCTTCTCTTGCGTTGTCTTGAGAATATACGATACGACCATTTGCAAGGATTTGATATCCAGCAACTGCATAGAAAGCGTCATCGAAACCAATCCAAAATCCTGGTGGGTTTGTTTTATTGGAACCTGAACCAATTTCTTTATCTGCAATAAATTGACCTTCCATTTTATACGTAATGAATGTATTGTAAAGGTCCAACATATTTTCACCAGGAGGTGAGAGATTGAATGTTACCCATGTGTTATCTTTAGCAGTTCCAGGTTGTGATGGAATCTTTGCGTCAGAATATTTTCTATTAGTGTCACCAATTTGAACTGCATTGTCTATGATATCGAAATATGAGCGAATCTGATGAATATGCTCTGCTGGAGTAAATTCGTTTAGCTGTTCGTTCTGCATGTATTTACTTCAGATAAAAATATCTATTTACTTCATTATTCTCACTCTTCTTCTTGGCATTCGTGGTGGAAGTTGTTTCTTGACATTTTCAATGAACTGTACATTCTCTTTTGTCTCAACTTCTTTCACTGGTGGGTCAGGGTTCTTTGACTCGGTTTGTTTTTCAATGAAATTCACGAACTTTGCAATAAGCTCTTGGTTCGTTATTGAAAGTACATCTGGCTTCTTTTCTTCTGGTTCTTTGGTGGCTCAGTTTGAACAGAAGGTTTTATATGGGCTTCGCCCTCGGTGCCATGCACCTTAATGTTGTCGCTTTCTGCATTCGCTAATGGAACCTTTCTTTTTCTTACGTATATTTTACCATCTTTACTCTGACTTACGTAATAGAAAGGATGTTGTATTCCTCTTGCGTCATTTAATATAATAGACTCTCGCTCTGATTTTGACAAGCTCATTTTACATCGGTTAAAGTTTTAAGTTGATTTTTATCTGCAGTCAAATGACTCAGACAAGCCCTACGGACAAGACCCAAGGGGTCATAGATGTTGAAGCATTGAAGAAAGAAATTCGTGAGCAAATTTTATCCGAACTGAAGGAACAAAAACAAGAACAAAAGCCAGAGAGACCAAAGAGAAAACTTAGTGAAAAACAACTTGCTGCATTAGCTGCTGGAAGACAAAAGAACCCACGTTTGCTGGCGAAGAAAGCTAGAGAAGAAGCAAAAGCAAAGGAAGAACAAAAGCTAAAGAAGCTGAAGCAAAGAAAGAGTAAATGGTTTATTTTTATCCGAATTAAATGTATAGACAAATACCTTTAACTGTTGCGTTCAGTAGTGAAAACCCTGACGTCAAAATAAAGGGGAACAGAGTAACGTTTAAGTTTCCAACAGACTGGATTGTGAACATAAATGAAGAGAAGTACATTGGCATAACATCTATGTATATAACACGTGCTTTCAGAAAGGTTGACTTTATACTTCAAGTCGAGATAGAAAATGACGAACAGTCTTTAAGCGCCCAAAACATTCACATATACAAATACTTTAAAGACGATACAACATTGTTGCAATGTATGATTTCATTTAATGAGATGTTCGAGAAAAAGTTCAACATTGAAGTACAAACTTTACAGCCTTTACGTGAGTTTCTTGCACAACTGAAAGAAGAAGGTAGTCAGCCACAACTTATAGACTTTCATTATGAATTTAATGAAAATGAAGATGGAACTCATGACTGTCAGTTGTTATATATTCACCATTTAATGAAGTAGCTAAAGAGAAAGAAAATCCATTACGTATAAGATTTCAAATCTCTGAACCAATGATGATTTTAAGAATGTTTTCAATTATGATGCAATGCTTCCGAGGAAAAATGAATTTTCAAAGATTGTAACACCTGGCATTTGGGATAGAAAGCAAGCTATATTATATTCAAACTTAAGTAAGGGAGTTGAAAATGAGTTCATTGGTCATACAAGAACTTCACCACTCCAAATCCTAAGTATTAAATTACTGGCTTCAATCGTGAGTTTTGGATAGACATGTTCTCCACTCATGACCATAACTGCCAGTGCTCTTACCTCCAGACCATAAGGACTGTCTCTACATTGAAGCACAACTTTAAACTCTACAATCGCTGTATTGTAAAATGACCACATCTTCGCTGCCTAGCTTATTTTTATCACGAATGACTCACTGCTGACAAAAATAAATGACCTCAGAACTTCAACTTACGAATAAAGCTTGTTTTAGTCGTTATTGAGAAAGTTGAACTTTTCAGCAAAGCAAGGACTAGAAGACTTACATAAGTCGAATGCAATCTCTTGACCATCATGAAGTGCTTTGTAAAGTTTCATTAAACTGAACTCAGAGTCTTTGTCATATGTTCCTTGCGGAACCATTAAACCTTTATCTTCATCATGAATAGCATTGAAGCTCAGGAAACATTTCATTAGCGGTTAAAGCAATAACATCTTGCTTCACGCCTTTCATTCTGCAGTGAAATGCAACTTCATTTAAATCATTCGTGAGTAAGTCTATGTAGTCTTCTTTCCACAAAATATTTTGTATGCTAAACTTTGTTTTCCAGGTGTTATTTCTGCAAAGTCAGAATGAAATGACCAAGTTTTTCCTATAAGTTCTCTACCGTATCTCTTCTTAAACTCTTCAGCTAAACGGGATGTCTTCATTGTAAGATGCATACTGTCGGTATCGCTATAAAAGATGTCCATGTCCTCTGCAGTACAGAATACTTCACACATTATTTTTCGACATAGACAGAATATTAACACCAAGTGGACAAAGTTAAAGTGTCTGCAAATGCTTTTCGTTAGCTTGAAAATAGTTTTATCTGAACCATCCAAACCTTCGAACTTCACTATATGGTTGTAGTTTCTTATGCATATCTTATAGCATCTTTGTCATTTACTATGGTTATTTTTGACTCAATAGGAGATAGAATAGTTTTGCCATAAATACTGTTCAGAATGAGCTTTTATATTTCTTGTAAAGGATTTCTTCTTTCTTATACTTTAACCTTAACTCAAACAACTTCTTTACTTCATCTCTTATTCTCAATATCTCTGTTTCCATCGTAATAGTATCCTTGCAACACTTCACATTTGACACCTTGATATTTTATGAGGTCTTGTAATGTTATATGGTCAACATACATGAAACAGCAAGTGTTTGAACTTCTGGAACGTTAAGTTCTGGATTTAGTTCAGGGTCGCAAACTATTAAAGAAAGTGTCTATGTATTCCAATCTCTGTTATCTTAATGAGAACAAAGAAGCCAGACATAAACTTTTCACCAATGGGTTCCTTTTGGTCGTCATCGAATAAATGTCTCATGAGATACTCTGTGCTTAACATTCATCCTTCAATACTTTTGGAATTCCTTCTAAAGTATAATCTTGCTATAGCTGAAGGATATAATGAAACAGCGTCGAAGTCAGCAATGAGTTTCTTTTTGCTCTTTTGTTTCATGTTATCTGACAACATACATCTTCCACCTTGAATACAGCGAAATAAATTCTCTTGGTTTATTTGAGAGGTCATATAAATTTCCATTCGGGAAGTACACTCTGTTCTCAAATATTTGTTAGCAATAGAACAAATACTAACGTAGTCATAAACGTTTAAAAAACTCTTTCAATAAGTCATTGCGAACTTTACAAAACCTTCTCTTAAAATTCTTACATCTTGTTTGCAGTAAAACGTGCTATATTTTCTAAGTCGAAGTGGTTTTCATCTATTCTGCAACCTTTGATGGAATCTATGTTTTCATAAATGTATCCATCATGGATAAACTTACATGCTTCAGAAATGACACCAGTTCTGTTGTCATTTGCTAACAAAACACTGCTGTAGTAGTTATATGGAAATACTTCTTTCGGTC